TTAATAGATTTGGACGGATTAAAGGAAATATTAGGGGACTAGTGTTTGACATCGATGGATCAGAGGTATAAGAGTGGCTTTTAAGGGATTATGGGGAATACAGAGGATTAAGCTTATATTGAGAGATTTAGCGGGATTAAGAGGGATATTCTGGACTAGGGGTATTAGGAGGCAAATGAAGGGATTTTGTTTGATGAAGCTTTTGAACAAGTTCCAGAACTGGAACCGATTTTGGAGAAATTTTGGAACTTCATCACTGATTATAAGCGAGATCTCTAATAGATCTTTAATAATCTCTCGAATTATCGCCAAGTGCCTAACACGATTGCAACCCTTCATATTGAAACCCTTCAAAAATTGCAACCCTTCATAAATTTATTTTATTGGAGATAATAGGAGGGATTTGGAGGAATATAGGCGATTCTAGAGTATTTGGGCGGATATCGAAGTTATCCCCTCCTTTTCATTTCTATATTCCTATGATCCCTCCTCCTTCTTGATCGCGATATCATCGAGATCCATCCCCTTTATTTCCTTAACTCTCTCAATATATCTTAAAAGTTACTGGGATATTTTTTCCTCCAATATATTTTAGGCGGGGCTGTATTTGGGGTGGGGCTCTAATTGAGGGTGGGGCTCTATTTTTCAACTATCCTCCAAAGTGGGGCTGTATTAAAGGGTGGGGCTCTAACAGAGGGTGGGGCTCTAATATAGGAAATACGGTATATTATAAAAATCCACATTTTATCATGAAATATTCTTATCTAAAGGAAAAATTTCAGTTCTTTCTTGATTTTTTATTAGAATCTTTAGGTAAGCCTAGTCTTCGGATCGTTATATGTAGTCTATTCATTATATTTAATTAATACACATATGTTTATTGTCATCATTTTATCAAGATTAGAAATCAAAAATATTAAACCCAGATGATAAACCAAAAATCGTAATTATGTAAATGAAATTAATTCAAATATCCCATTTAAAGCCTTAAATCCAATATTATTTTCTTTACAGCGGTTTATTATCCAAAAATTGTTTAAACATATACAATGCTTCCTGCGGTTTAGACTGGGGGACCTTAATAAATTATTAAAAATAATTTAAAAAATATATTTTATTTTTTAAACCGTGTGGCCGGCTCCTCTTACTAAAAATAAAAGAATGTTTGAAAAAATTACTATAATTTTATTTAATACCTGTAGTAAAGGTTAATCCATTTTTGTATACCGTTGCAAACCCACCAACTTGTTCATTTACAATCCAGGCTTGTTTTGGCGTTTCTACCTTTAAAAATAAGTATATGTAGGTATATTATTTAAAGTTACTACCAGACCAGGTCACAGATACTGATTTTGGTATCCGTATCCGGATATTTACGGCGGATATCCGCAGGCATTTTGGTATTATCTGTATCAATATCCGTATCCATGACCAGGTCTGGTTACTACACTAATTACTCTTGATACACTAATTAGTCTTGATTAAAGGATCAAGAAGAGCGGAATTCTGCCAAAGCGGAACAAGAAGGACAGCACACCCTGGTTTCATACATAATTTGTTCTGAATATTCGGATCTATCAACCTTTATAGTTTTATTCCTTACCTTCACTCATTTATTCATAAAGAGGTATTTGTTGGGAAAATGAGAGAAACTAATCACATATCGTATTTAAGTTTGACCTTGTAAGGACACCACATAGATGTCATATGGCCGCATTATTTAAGCTTGATATGATATCATACTTATTACATCATTTTCTAAATGGATTGAAACACAGATGAGACATATTATGGAATCATACTGCTTATCTTTAACTGGTTTAATGTATGAACCGCACTTTATGTATCCTTATAAAACCTAATCTACTCATTCAGTAAAATTAATTTAAAGATAAATTTTTCAACTTCAAATCCAAGTTGTTCGGTAAAGCGTTGTCCGATCAAAAAATTACAAATCACATCTAAATCGCCGTAATAAAAAAGTATGCGAATATTAGCATTTAAAATAGTTTTTGTAAAATTGGCCATTTCTTCTAAACATTATTTAATAATTAATTTTATTTTTAAATTTAAATCAACTATAAATCGTCTTATAATTATGGTAAATATCATCTGAACATTCTTCCCATTTAATACTTAAGTTAGACGGAATATTCAATGCTTTTTGTACTAAAATATTAATTTATAATTAATTTCCAATAAGAAAAATAACCATCAGGCATGTTTAAGTAATGTTCTGAAGCAGAAACTGAAATTAAATTTTTTTATTTAGAAAGTAAGGAAGAGAATGATCCGGCTGGCTTACATTTAAAACGCTCACTAGGCGGGAGGTTTAAGATTTATTAAAAGAGAAAGCAGCGTCCCGGTAGCTCGGTAAGTACAGCACCTGTACGTGGTGCGCGAAAGCGCTTAGCAAAAACTGCCAGGTGGTCGCAGGATCCAAGTCTGCCCGGGAATAAACTCTTACCTCGCTCTTACTAGAATTAATAATAAGCAATTTAGTAAAAAACTGATAGTGTTTTTTTTGGAAATTGGAACTGAGAAAAACGTTCTTAACCAAAAGTCTTGGCTCTTTTTCCTGCTTAGACGGGAAACATACAAAAGCTCTTGTAGGGTGAACAGACACAAAGCTCTTGCAGTCCTTATTAGGTGATTGAATAACTCAAATGAACTCAAATGTTATCCAAGTCCTTGTACGGCTGATTTTTCGCAATGAGAAATAATATTTTCAAGCTCTTAGAAAAGCCGGGAATAATTATTATTTATTAATATGATTTTTTCTTACCATCTGTGCAGGGGAGTGTATTAAAATATAATGGCCGATCCTTTCTAGCCAGTCTATTCAAAAGTAAACTGCTAGTTTTAATTTTAAGTTTAGATGCAATTGTTCTGTTTGCTGGTTCTAAATTTAAATTACTACAAAATTAAAAAAATATTTGTACCACAATCATCATAAATATCGTAAGGATTTAGCAAATCATTAGTATAACCAGGATATAATTCCATTTGCTAAAGGTTTATAGTTTTATTAACATTGCCAAATTAAAATTTTACCATATCTCCACATGTCGTGTTTTCAGGGATGCTTAAAATGTCACAACCATCTGTAAAAAATTAGGATATTAATTTAGAAAGCATACAATCTAAAATTTGCTGGGATAATCCACATATGGAAAACATATCGGGGTTTATCGAACCTTGTATTCCCAATCCACAGGAATCTGTTAGTTATGTGGGGGCCTAGTATAAAAGCAGTCTGTAGAAAATTGGTCGGCACCTGAGAAGAGGCACCTGAGAGTGGGATACCTGGGAGGGAGGCAGCTGCCGACCAAGAGATCAGTCTTGTCGGTACCTGCCTGTACTTAGTTATTCCTGCTATTTGCCACCTTCGCCATTCATATATTTAGTATTCGGATAAACATGTATTCTATTCTTGTTTTATTATATTAGTCACTAGGTTAGACCGCACCCTAGGACATACCAGAATCTATAATCGAAAGGATGTGGAATCATAGATATTTTATATGTATAGCTTTGCATTCTACCAACGAACCCAACTGAAAAATATTTTTTAAACTAACCAATGCAGCCATTACAGCATTGATTTTGAAATTTTTGCCAAACTTCTTCATCAACCAAGCCATGACTATAAAGGTATAAAGGTAAAGTGTTTGTATTAAGGATATCACTCAGAATTCCATTACCAATCGCTACACCCTTTAATAATATTAAGATATTTATTATGAATAGAGACACACACAAGGTGCCTCTTACATCAAATTCAAAATTATACATATGTATACCGTATTTATTCTAATAGAGTGGCCGCCACTCTATTTTTCGATACCCTTAAAATGGGGCCATTCTATTGGAGGGGCCATTCTAATGGAGGTGGCCATTCTATTTTTCATAGGTAAGAATCAGAGATAGGATGAATCAAATGTTCGATAAAATATTTTCCGACTTCGAAATTTAATAGATTTTTCTTATAAAATTCTAAATTTTCGACTTAGGTTAGTGAATTTTCTTCTCGTATCACTATAAAACATAAGAGCTTTTTCCCTGCGGGGCTAAAAAGGCAACTTTTGATGTACTTCGGTGCAACACAATCAAAATTTCCAGTACATTTGGCTCTTAAAATTTCGTAGGATCTTGGAATTTGGACGTAATATACTGGAATCGGAAGAGATTTATTCAATCCATGAATATCTAACCTTAATTCCTTGTTATTAGTTATATCAGTAAATTGTTGTAATTTCGTAATATCACTTCTAATCCTCTTAAATCCCTGATATCCCTCTTAATCTCCCTGTTATGACTCCAGATTTGCTAAAAAATATTATGATTATCCTAACTAAAGAGTACTATTTAACAGGTATTAAGAAAATAAAGAAATGTATTAGGTATATGTTTTGTAGTTAAAAGGGCCATTCTATTGGAGGGGCCATTCAAATAGAGGTGGCCATTTTATTTTTCATTACCCCCAAAAAGGGGCCATTCTATTGGAGGGGCCATTCTATTAGAGGGGCCATTCTATTAGAATAAATACGGTATGTACCTTTAAATTTATTTTTGTATCCTTGATGCCTTCCAAAATTTTAACAGCGAGCAATGGAATATATGTTCCTGCATAAGACTCACCAGCGAGATAAAATGGATTTGATTTAAATAAAGGATATTTATTGAAAAAATCTTTTAAAGCTTCATAGTTAGCTACAGCAACCTGCAAATAAATTTATGAGAGGGTCGTACGAGAATCTGGAGGGTCGAACGACAATCGAGATTTATATCTTGAAGAAATGATCCCGATGTCTGAGATTTTTCTTCGGGATATCGTTTCTGTCAGGGCTTAATATAAGATAACTAAAAATTTCTTTAAATGATATAAATTGGAGGCATCGTTTAAGCTCCCAGACATGTGACTCCAGACATGTGTGCTCCCAGACATGTGTGTTTAAGCTCCCAGACATTCTAAAAATGTCTCTTAAATCGAGCTTTACTTAATCTTGGGGTATCTCACAGTAAAGCATGACTTTGGCATAAAAAAGTACCTCATCATCATTTGTCAAAACATTTTTATTTCTTGTGTTATACGAAAATCCAACCCACGCAGGGGATTCTAAAAATAAAATTGAGGCATAGTTATTCCATGAATAAGGATTTAGGCGAAGTGTTTTGCCATCTTTGTTGATTAAATAAGGGCCCAATTCTTCAAATAAACCACCAAGAGATGAACAACCAGGACCTCCATTTAGCCACAAAACCTTTAGAAATTGTAGGGAATCATTGAAAATTGTAGTCGCTAACCAATGGATCTATTTTCGGATTTCCTTGGGATTCCACAAACATATAGTGAAATAAATTGTCATTTCCTGCATCCAAATAACCTTAAAATAAATTTTGAAAAATTAAAATTAAATAATCTACCTGAATAATGTTTAAAATTAAGTGTTGCGTTTAAGCCTGGTAACGATTTAATTTCAGCTGGATTATTATTTATTTTCGATGATCCATAAATTAGATTTATTAAAATACAAAATTGGAGAACCCATAAATATATTCTGGGCATTTCAAAAGGGTTTAATAAAAAATTTTATTTTTAGCCAAATTTTTGGTTAAGGTTTTTGTCTTTTATTCGAATTTATTCTGTATGTATAAATCAAAAATTGGATATAATTTTCTCGTTTATATTTTTAAAAAAAAAATTATAGTTTATAATTTATTAACTTAAATTAACGCATTTGGTTAAGCATTCAGCTAACATCGGGCTTTAGCCTCTCCTCAAAGAGAGAGGAGGGGAGCCATTTGATTTTTAATCCATAATTATTTAATTGTTGGCAAAATTTTGAATGAGAGCTCCAAAAAATTTTTTATTTATGTAATGCTGAGCTAAAAATAAATTTAATTATAAAATATAAATTCAAAAAACGTGGAATTTTAAAAATTGATTTTACTTTTTTCCAAGTTTGACATGTATTAAAAATGAAATTTAAATTTACTCATAATGTATAGCCAGTGGATAGTTAAATTATGGCTAGTACAGGAGGGAGGGGAGGGATTTTTGCCAACGTTGTAGTTTGCCTTTTTTTGCAATCGTCTCTTGTGCCCGCCCCTGGTCCACATGTCGTAGCTAATTAGTCTAAATAATTTTTAAAATTGAGTTTTGCGACTAAACTTGGTTATAACAGAATTATATTTTTTTAAATTTATTTTAATAAAAATATTTAAAATTATAATTGCAATAATATATTTAAAAAATCACAAATTTATCCCCACCAAAAATTTATTTTTAAAAAATTTGTATCCCATATATAGCTTAATATTTTTCTTAAAACATACTCTACAAAGGTTTATTATCCAAGAATTGTTTAAACATATACAATGCTTCTTTCGGTCTAGACTGGAGGAGTTGGGCTTGGCATTACATGCAACTGGAATTGGGGTTCGACCCCTACGATATTATAAGCATCAAAAAACTGCGATTTTTTTCAAAATTGTTAAAGTACTTTAATTAATTATTGCTAAAGAATTAAGAAATTTTCAAAAATTACATCATTATCTTTATATTTATTTTTTCGTAGACAAATTACAAAATTAATATTTGCACTTTAAGGCAAATACCACGAGAATTTGATTAGTCGATATCTTTGATGCTCTGTGTGATTTACGCTTCATTATACACTTAAATTTTATTAATGTTTAAAATAATACGTTAATTAATTCTTTCTTAAATTGTGAAATTGCTACTAATTTTCTTTAACTAGAAAATAAAATACTTTTTGTTAAAAATTGTCATAAATTTATTTCCAAGGGAACAAGCAACCGCATTCCCTATACTACATATATGCATCAAAATTCATACTCGCGTTACCGCGAGTGGTTGGAAGCTCGTACAAAATTCGTACCCGTACCTGTGTGCGAAGTACGAGTACGAGCAAAAAATGGACATGTGCGGGTACGAGTACGAGCAAATTTCAAAATTCCAACCGTTGGTTACCGGGCATGTTGTAGATAAATTTTCTAAATTTCAGATGATTAAATTTAATTTTACATTTCTCATATATTTAATTATATTTTTGAAAATTCAATGCGCTGCGAAACTCATTCATGTTGAAGTGAAAATTAAAGATGATTGGAAAGAAAAAAGAGAATTTATTTATTTAGAAAATGTTGAAATAAAAGATCGTTTTGTAGTGAAAGTAATTAAAAAGTCAAATAATCAACATGATGGCTTTAATAAAAATATAGAAGGATTTTTAAGTTCAATTGACTTTAATCTAGATAAAAATATGTTTGAAGTTGAAATAAGTGATAAATCAAAACATATTCCATCTGATCAATTAAAAAAGAAAATTTTGATTGAAATTACTAATAATGAAATAATTCAAAATTTTCTGCCTGTGTTTGAAAAAATGGTATATTTTGATTAATAAAATTTTCATTCTACAGTGTCACAACTAGAGGCAGGCGCGGAACGGGATCACGATCCCGAAACCCCGGATTTTTTTGATTTTCGGGATCCGGGATTTTTTCAGGATTTATCCTTCGGGATCCTGTCCCGGCATCGGTTAAGAAAAAAAATCCCGACTCGGGATCCCAGAAGTGCGATTTTGCCGACCTCTAGTCACAATTATGTGTGTTAAGAAATTATAAGCGCACTTGAAAACGCACTTTACAAAAATTTCGGTGAACATTTCTTTTGATAACAAGTAGAAAATTTAAAAGAACGAAGTCTATAAATGACTTTTTCATAAAGATCCAAAAATCGGCCGCTAATACTACTCTAATTTGTAATACATTTAAGGTACTCCGAAATAATACTTTTATTGAAAATAATAATTGTTATGAAACTTCAATATTGTACAAGAATGAAAATAATTTTAGCTCAATTGAAGAAAGCATAGAAAATTACAAAGACAAAATTTTATCAAGTTATTGGACAGAAATTAATTTAATTGGATATAAAATTGAATTGTTAGAAAAACAAAAAATTGAATATCCGAAAGAATTACAGAGCGAAATTATTTACATTGGAAATAAAATAAGTAATAAAAATTTTTAATTTTTTTTAATCCCATACACCAGAGGTGGGTCGGAATTCCGAGTTCCGACTTTTGAGCCAATTTCTATTTCCGGCTCTTCCGATTTCCGACACCTCTGACTGTTCCGATCCACCTCTGCCCCACCCCCCTCCTCACATATGTGAACACATCTATGATGATATTTCTACTTGTGCTAAAATTTGTTTCTTCCGTTAATAATACCGCGCGTTTTATGATTTATTTCTAAATATTATAGATCAACTCAATGAGAAAAATAAACGACACTGTTTCAATTGTAACACTACACAGGCGTACAACTGGTATATATACCTTGAGACATACAATTTATGCAAGGATTGTTACCATTATATACGTAGAAATAACGGAGAAAATAGACCAAAAATATTTTGGATTAAAACTAAAATGGTTCATAATTGTTAAAAAATTTTTTCTATTGAATTTAAGGAGGATCGACACTGTGCAATTTGCCATGCTACAGAAACTCATATTTGGATCCGTCATTCAGAACCTGGGCAATATTTATGCTTTTCCTGTTACGGTAAACAAAGATATATAAAGAAGAAGCAGATGAAATATTTAAAAGAAAACGAGTCTAAAAATAAAAACAAATTAGATTTTGAAAAAGAAATGGAATCAAAAATGCGCTTATTTATACTAATGTTCGATAAATTCCCAGATAAATGTCCAAATGTCCGCAAAAGGCATCTTTGATAAGAAAATTTTTCTGCATTTTACTCCTTTGCCTCTGTTGATTGGTGACCAGAGATTGGTGACTATTACGATTTCCGACGTTTTTTCCTTCCAATTTCCGATTTCCGAAAAAATTTTGATTTCCGATTTTCGACTTTTGAGTCAGTTCCGATTTCCAACACCTCTGACAGTTCAGACCCACCTCTGCAGGTGTCGGGTAGGATGATGGCTGACGGTTTAGCGCAGGTTCTATTATGGAAAATGAACTATGGAAAAATGGCTTTTTATTTCCAATCTAAAAAATAATTTTTTAAATTTATTGTATACAGAAATGGTCCTTAGATTTTAAAAGAATTGAAAATAATTTTCAGGTCGAATCTCGGGTCGAAAAAAACATTTTTAGGAAGCAATAAAAGCCTTTGTGAAACTATTTATATTAGTTTGATAAACACGTAATTCTGGGCCATTTCTAATCTTAAAAAAATTGAGTCTTCATAAATGTTATCCTTCATAAAATTAAACAAAATACTCAAACTAAATCTATAGATTTAATATTTTTCATAGTAACAATTAAAGAATTTATTTTTCATTGAAATTACATAGATTATTATTTTATAAAGTTTTATAATCTGTTCAATAAACTCAGAAAATTAAAGCTAGAAAATCATAATAACTTAAATATTATTTATTCGTTTCCTGTTTTGTTTGATTTTTATTCGTTCAATTATTTTTTGTTGTTTTCTGTAACAAGCTTTACATATATATTGCCCGGGAATTGAATGACAGTACCATTTTGGTGTTTTTGTTGATCCGCAAGTAAAACATTTTCGATCTTTCGTGATTCGCTAAATTATTTATATAAATAGAAGATGAAACCAGATCTCAGACAAAAAATTCTTTAAAGCTATTTTTCTAATTTTCGATGAACTGATCTTGTCTAGAATGCTTCTAATTAACTTGTTCCTTTTTTCTAAGTTCCTATTTTCCACAAGTGCAAAAGAAATGTTCTTGTCAGTATTTATAATTAAGGCTCAAAATTATATGGAAATCCATATTTTTTTTCGTGAATTGCTTATGGTGTGAAACGCACGAATAACACACTTTCCGTGCTGGTTCCTTGCCTAATAATGGCATTTAATATGCTCGAAACAATTAAAACTACTCATATACTTTTTTAAAAACATTGTTAATTAAAATATGAATAAATTTAAACCATTTTAGTTTGACGCAAAAATCCTTCTGGTCTCAATTTGCCATTATAGTATATTTTATACGAACGACATGGATCGCACAAATAATGTTCTTTTAGATAGCTATGCCATTTTTTGGCAATTTTAAATCTACAACTGAAACAGTTTCGTTTATTTCCTTCAATTATTCCTCCTATAATATTAAAGAATAATATTTATATTATTAGGCATATAAACAAATAAAAAATTAAAAAAAACTATTTACTTATTTCATTGCCGATGTAAATAATACTACTTTTTAATTCTTTCGGATATTCAACCTTTTGTTTTTTTAACAATTCAATTTTATATCCAATTAAATTAATTTCCGTCCAATAACTTGACAAAAGTTTGTTTTTATAATTTTCTATGCTTTCTTCAATAGAGCTAAAATTATTTTCACTCTTGTACAATATCGAAGTTTCATAACAATTATTATTTTTAATAAAATTATTATTTCGGAGCACCTTAAATTTAACAAATTATATTAGTTATAGCGGCCGATTTCCTTCTCATTGCTGTTACTTTTTTGTACGATAGTAAGTTGTTAAACTAAGGAATCGAATTTCTATTAATCAAAATATACCATTTTTTCAAACGCAGGCAGAAAATTTTGAATTATTTCATTATTAGTAATTTCAATCAAAATTTTCTTTTTTAATTGATCAGATGGAATATATTTTGATTTATTACTTATTTCAACTTCAAACATATTTTTATCTAGATTAAAGTCAATTGAACTTAAAAATCCTTCTATATTTTTATTAAAACCATCATGTTGATTATTTGTCTTTTCAATTACTTTCACTACAAAACGATCTTTTATTTCAACATTTTCTAAATAAATAAATTCTCTTTTTTCTTTCCAATCATCTACAATTTTCACTTCAACACGAATGAGTTTCGCAGCGCATTGAATTTTCAAAAATATAATTAAATATATGATAATGATAAAATTAAATTTAATCATCTGAAATTTCAAAATTAAATGCTACTTTTTTGTTGTTTTTTTTTCTTTGAAAATAATGGTCTACTTTTTAATTCTTGATTATCCCTAAAATTCATTAAGTAACCTACCTCTAAAATTCTTGATTATATTTGTTCCTTATTTAATTCTCTATCTTATAAACATTAATTGATCTCATTATCCGTAATATGAAAAAGTTATGATGGGAGGAATAGTGTGCAATAACATTCTGATTACCCTGTATTTTATTTTTATTTATTTATTCTGAGCAACCACAGGTACAAATAATTGTACTCTTACGTGGAAATACAATAAAAGCGATAAAATTAATAAAAAAAATTAAATTACAAAAAATTTAAAAAAATAAATTAAAAGGTAATTTGGTCAATGGGCTAAGTCAAATTATCATAAAATTATTAAAAAAAAAATAAATTTATATATTAATAGTATAGGATAGGAGCCATTCAAAGTTAGTTACTGAACTAGGGTGTCAATACTTTTCTTAAAATTTTTAATGTTGGATAACTTTGTAATTTCAGCAGGCAAACTATTCCATTTAAGTATCATTCTAATAAAGAAATCTTGCTTATTTCTAAAATCATATTTTGAATTAAGTATAAAATGCGGTTTTCAGCTACAGCGCTTAGAAAAAGTAAAGAAATCGGTAGGAATAAGATTAGTGGTATTCTTAATAATTTTAAAGACCATGCATAAATCGGCAGACGCCCTTCTACTGCTCAACTGTCTAAGCTGGCAAACATTAAGTCTTTCTGGATAAGGTCGGGGTGCTAAGCCACATTTCTTAAGAATAACTCTCGTAAACATTTTTTGGACCTTTTCTATTTTAATTATCTCCTTATTATTTTGCGGACTCCAAACTTGAGATGCATATTCCAAATTTGGCCTAATATATATTTTATAGATGAGAACCCATATTTTTAATATTCGGACTTTAATAAATTTAAAAAATAGATGTATTAAGGAGTATGTCTTTTTAATTATGTAATCAATATGGAATGAGAAAGAAAAATTATTATCAATTATAACTCCTAAATCTCTAATGCAATCGGCTACCTGGATTACTTTATCGTTTAATAAATAAGATTGTGAAGAGTTATTGTTGCCAATATGTAATACCGAACATTTATTAATTGAAATTTCCATGTGGTTTTCTTTAGTCCAGGTTTCAATCGATTTAAGAGCCTTTTCTAAATAGACCCTATTTGAGTCATTATTGTGGATAACATATAGTTTAATATCATCGGCGTACATTTTAATATGAACGTTTTCTGGTATATAATTTGGGAGATCATTGATAAATATTAGAAACAATAACGGACCTAAAACACTCCCTTGGGGAACGCCTGATGGAACAGAAAAATAATCGGAAAATTTACTACATATTTTGATCCGAAAGCTACGATCAGTAAGAAAATTATAGATAAATTTATAGATTTTACCACCAATTCCTAAGGAAGATATCTTTTCAAGTAATTTTCCGATTGGTACAGTATCGAATGCTTTAGATAGATCAATATATATAACATCGACATGTACAATATCGAAGTTTCATAACAATTATTATTTTTAATAAAATTATTATTTCGGAGCACCTTAAATTTAACAAATTATATTAGTTATAGCGGCCGATTTCCTTCTCATTGCTGTTACTTTTTTGTACGATAGTAAGTTGTTAAACTAAGGAATGGAATTTCTATTAATCAAAATATACCATTTTTTCAAACGCAGGCAGAAAATTTTGAATTATTTCATTATTAGTAATTTCAATCAAAATTTTCTTTTTTAATTGATCAGATGGAATATATTTTGATTTATTACTTATTTCAACTTCAAACATATTTTTATCTAGATTAAAGTCAATTGAACTTAAAAATCCTTCTATATTTTTATTAAAACCATCATGTTGATTATTTGTCTTTTCAATTACTTTCACTACAAAACGATCTTTTATTTCAACATTTTCTAAATAAATAAATTCTCTTTTTTCTTTCCAATCATCTACAATTTTCACTTCAACACGAATGAGTTTCGCAGCGCATTGAATTTTCAAAAATATAATTAAATATATGATAATGATAAAATTAAATTTAATCATCTGAAATTTCAAAATTAAATGCTACTTTTTTGTTGTTTTTTTTTCTTTGAAAATAATGGTCTACTTTTTAATTCTTGATTATCCCTAAAATTCATTAAGTAACCTACCTCTAAAATTCTTGATTATATTTGTTCCTTATTTAATTCTCTATCTTATAAACATTAATTGATCTCATTATCCGTAATATGAAAAAGTTATAATGGGATGAATAGTGTGCAATAACATTTTGATCACCATGTAGGAAAAAGGTGACATAAATATTAATCGATCTGGGCCCTCCAAGATTGTTTTAACAATTTGTTTTAAAAAGATGTTTAAATTAACCAACAAAAATTCAAAATATGTATAAATTAAAAGCGGAGATTTTGTTTAAAATTACTTTAACTCTTCCGAATACAGTATTCATTACGCGTGCAATGTCCGTGATTAATAAAAATATATTCAAATTTAATGGACATTTTTATATTAATATTTATCCGCATAAAAAAACATGCATTTGCATGTTCTTGAGTCCCTAATTTAATATGTATAAGTTTAATATATAGTTTGCAAATTCGAATATCCGAAGAATATTGTTTATTAATTAATAGAAATATTAAAGATTTTATTTTTATTACTATTAGATTAAATAATTAAATATTTTGTCTCATTTATGTTAATGACATTGTATTGACTCGACAATAAATAAGGTACAAAATGTAATAAAATAATTTTGAAATTTGCACTTTTTCCATTTGACGCGGCTAATATAAGTGATAAATAAAATTAATTTTTGAGCAATTTTGTAATTTTTTCTACCAGCTTTATGTCCTTATATTTCATTAGAATTTAAAAATGAGACATTTATTCATAAAGTCTCAATCATTTTTAAATTATTTTAAATTTTATGATGAAATTTGAAATTGGGAATTTAACTAGAAAACAAAAAATATAAAAATAAATAAAACAAAATTTCAAAAATTTTTTCTAAATAAAAATTTCTGTAGTTTTAATTTCTACTTGTGCCATCTCTTCAGCACTTTGTGCCTCTATTTGATGTACATCATGTAATTGGAGAGAAGCAGAAGAATTACTCATATCAGAACCTCTTCTGTGTGAATGGTGTGTTCCACTTGGGAAAGAAATTCCTCCTCCAAAAACTTCGGAACTTGAACGTTGAATACAATCTTCTGATGAACGCCTAAATTAAAAATAAATATTTAAAAAAGGGGGTATACGGGGGTAGAATGCCCAAGACCGAAAATTTTCCAAGACTCGAGACCAAAACTACACCTCATGACCAAGACCGTAAAACCCCAAGAAATTCATGAATCAAGACTCAAGCCAAGAGGCTTGGACATCTCGAACAGCTAGGTAAAGTAATAGCCATGCTTAATTCTTATGTGAACTAGGAAAAATTTGTATAGTGAGACCTTATTGTACGACAGATTTTCACTCTAACGACAGATCAGTTCACATGACCGTCGTCACCAGTGCCGTTTCCCCTATGAGAACTTCCGTTTCCCCAATTAAAAACAAAATATATTTAGAAATAGCCATAAAACTTTTTACATAGTAACAATAAAGAGATCTTCTCACCCAGAGGTATAATATACATAAATAATACCGGACCATTAGTTCCATATTTTTTAATACAGTATTTATTCTAATATAACGACACTCTAGAAGAGGGTTGAAAAATAAAACGACATGTCGTTAGGTTAGAATAAATAGGTATATTATATGATACCCTACCTCGAAACAAGTAGGGTTTACATAAACCATAGGCCCTAATGACCGTTTTTCCAAAATTAATTAGGTTTAAGACTCCCTTAATTCTTCAAAATTTCCAATTACCTAAAAGTCGTTTCCCCTCCTGCCGAAATAGAAATTGAATTTCTTTCACGAAAATTTGGCGGACTGTTGGCCAAATCTTCCACAACAATTTGCGGCTTTTTTGATGAATGGCGTCTACCTAATGGTGGGCTAAAAATTTATTTTTAAAAATAATTTCCAACACAAAAATTTACATTAAAGCAGAGAGACTTTCAAGTCGAGATCTCTTTCTATAAGTAAATTCTCTGCTACAATTTTCTTTTTTTGGCAATTTTTGTTGTTCTTTAACCTCCTCATTTTTATTATTTTTTAATAATTTTATATTTTTCTTTATTTTTATTTTGAAAGAATTATTTTGAGAATTTAATTGTTTTTGCTGATTTAATTCCCTTTCGATAGCTGTCATATTAGAATTATTATTATTACTTTTTTGTTGACTATTTTCATTATTTATTTCATTTTTCTTTGAAAATCGCCGTTTTATTTTTTCAGAATTTGTTGGTCTTCGAGGTGGAAGCATCCAACTCTTTCTTCTACAACTTCTTTTTAGTCCAAGTAAACGCCAAAAAGTTATTCGAAATTTCTAGAAAAAATTATTATTTTTCAGATATAAATAGAACCCTCATTTTTAGACACACCCTTACAAATTAAGGCTGAAGTAATCGTACAATATAATAAGGGGTACATTAAATGGGAGTAAGGGGAAGTAAGATACAATAATTTAGGATAAAAACCCCCTACACCAGGGCTGGGCGATTTCGCATTTTCGCGTTTCGCATCTTTCGCATTTTTCACATTTTTTGGCGCGAAAAGTTTCGCATTCCGCATTTCGCTTTTTGGTCCAAATGCGAAATTTGTTTCGCCTTTTTAATTTATATTTCTTTATTTTTTAGATATTTTTACATTAAATTTTTTAAAGGAAGAGGGAAAGAAACATAGATATTTATCCTAAAATTCATTTAGGTGGGCGATGGTTGAGTGGTTAAGTTGACTGACTTTGCTTACTTTTGTGTTTTTTGGGGCTGGGTTTGAATCCAGACGTGGGAAATATATATTTTCCTTTCCAAAATTTAATGTTTTTAAACTTTGATTTTAAATCTGTAAATTTGTTTTTTTAATATTTTAAATTTGAAAAACATTAAAAATTTTAATTAGTAATAAAGTAATGAATTTTTTAGTAATGAATGCTGCGCAGAAAATAAAAGAAATCTGACTTACGGACCTCCAAAATTCTGAAAATTTTTGCCTGCGGCGCAGGAAAAATTTGAGATTAAGAGGGATATCAGGAGATTAAAATGTGAAAAGTTCGATCGAAAAGATAAAAAGTTCCATGAAAGAAGGTGAAAATGTATGAAAAAAGATACTGGGTTTCGGTAAAACTTACTAAAGCTTCACCGGAAGTTCCGGTTCAGGCAAGCCGTAAGTCCCGGGATTTTTTGGTTCCGGTTTGCTTGTAATGATCTGTTTCTGCTTCCGGCCCCAAAGGATGTGTATTTAGCTATAAAGGATCCAAAATTCTCATAATTTTTGCCTGTGGCGCTGAAAAAGGAAGATGTTTTCCAGATCCCTCCCCTAAATCCTCAGTTATCCTCCCAAATCCCATGATATCCTCTTTAATCCATCCAAGAATTTTCGGTCTAACACTTCTATCGACTCAGCTCGCCGAGACATCGAATAGTAGTTGTTTCTTATCGAAACTTTCCCTCCGGTATACTATCCAAAATATTTCTAGAATTTTAAACCAATTTCGCATTTTCGCGTTTCGCATCTTTCGCATTTTTCACATTTTTTGGCGCGAAAAGTTTCGCATTCCGCATTTCGCTTTTTATTGTTTTAAAAAAAGTTTCGCATTCCGCATTTCGCTTTTTATTTTTTGACTTCGCCCAGCCCTGCCCTACACCCTCCCTCCCACTCTCTGTATTTTAAATTGTGGTGGGGGCCCTCTGACCATTACGAGAACATAAAATGTAATCTAGACAGGTAACAGTAATGCACCTAAATGTATCCTACATTCAGTGAATCTAATATTGGGGGTACCTAAGAAAGTTAAAATTTATATTTATCAGTTTCATACTTTATTTATTGCAGAATAAATAAAAAAATTCAAAGAAGAATTTAAATAGCCAAGTGCACTAAGCCAGTGAAATATATATTCTGTATCATGCATCCACTGATCAGTATAAAGTTTATATATTTTGTATATATTCATTGAAAAATATGGAGCCCAACAAATTAAAAATACACCTTAAACGATAATTAGGCAATTAATAAAAATTTTGCGGATAAGATTTTGCGGATAAAATTTTGCGGATAAGATTTGCGGACAAAATGTGTGGAGGAGAATATGAAGGCAATCCCAGGCATGATAATCCAACGAGATACATGATAATCCAACGAGCTCCACATAACTATAAGTTCACCCTAAATTTTGGAATTTCTTAACTTCTATCAAATCAATTCGGCTGATTTTTATTTTATATTTATTAAAGCATGTATCAATTCATATAAACCCGAGAAATCAAAAAAATTTCCATTCAAAAATTTTTTATCCAAATTTTTCAAAAAAACCCTCCACATAACTATAAGTTCACCTACAGAAATCACATAAGGGATGCTTGAAAAATTCTACAAAAATTCATGCAAATATTTTCATTGATAATAAGTGAAAAATAAAAAAGAACCAAGTCTGTAAGTCCTTTTTTCATCGAGATCCAAAATCTCGAAAATCAACTGGAAATGGGGGCTACAGTACTTTAAAAATATTTTTACAAGTGTAGACTGTAAATAAAAATTTTTATTATAGTCCATCTGAAAGCCCACAAAATTTGCTACAAAACACACTTTGTCCTATCATAGGGAAAAATTTTATCACTGAAGAGACACCGGTTAAATTTAGAAACTCGAAATAATGACATTTTGTGGGGTTCATTTTGTGGGGTTCATCACCTCATTTAACCCAAAGCTCCTCAAAGGTAGAATTTTTGTCCTGGATAGGACCAACTGTTTTTTGTAGCAAATTTTGTGGGCTTTCAGATGGACTATAATAAAAATTTTTATTTACAGTCTACACTTGTAAAAATATTTTTAAAGTACTGTAGCCCCCATTTCCAGTTGATTTTCGAGATTTTGGATCTCGATGAAAAAAGGACTTACAGACTTGGTTCTTTTTTATTTTTCACTTATTATCAATGAAAATATTTGCATGAATTTTTGTAGAATTTTTCAAGCATCCCTTATGTGATTTCTGTAGGTGAACTTATAGTTATGTGGAGGGTTTTTTTGTTAAAATTGGATAAAAAATTTTTGAATGGAAATTTTTTTGATTTCTCGGGTTTATATGAATTGATACATGCTTTAATAAATATAAAATAAAAATCAGCCGGATTGATTTGATAGAGGTTAAGAAATTCGAAAATTTAGGGTGAACTTATAGTTATGTGGAGCAGTGTATTAAAATTTCTAAACTCGTACTTAAATTCTAGAAGGAAAAGGTACAATATTATTAAATTGGTCCGCAAAACTTGTCCGCAAAAGTTACATACCCATTACAGTAGCTACCAGTTTAGTTGCACGAGTTTCCCGTCTAATGGCTAATCCTTGCTTTGATCTCAATTTTGCGATTAAATCTTCAAAATTAAAATATTTAAAGTAATCTAAGGGATAATCTTCCAACCCAGTGCCCAATCCTTCAATCCTGCCAATTTTTTTCTGGCCATATAAACAGAATCTCTTCTTGCAAATTGAATCATTTGACCTATAGAGGGATGTGTTGGCCTATCCCATCCAGAGATTAATTCAGAAAGTCGTCTCATTCTTCTTCTGTTATCCTTCAAATATTTTATTTTGATCCGGAATTTTGTTTTTAATTAGCTTATGAAGTGGAGAGAGATTTTCTTGCGGACGTTCTTTGCATATTAATCTCAAGTCAATTTTTGATCTTTCCTATACCTTGAAGTTTATTTTTGCGATTAATCTTTCATTAAAAGCTTGCGGAAATATTTTGTAGACTCTTACTTTGGTAGAAACGCTTTGATAAAAGGCGCAAAAATTGTCCGCAAGAAAAGTCCACAAAAAAGTCTGCAAAAATTGTCCGAAAGAAAAAAAAGTCCGCAAGAAAAATTTGAAAAAAATTTTTAAAGTGCTTCCTTTTAAGATTACCTTATCTTCTGGAAATAGTAGAGAATTCCTTCCAGAAATTTTATTTTTTTGACCGGGTGGTTGATACGAATGCCTTCTACGTTGCATTTTAAGCTTTAAAGCATGCGAAGAATTTAAGGTATTCCCATTTTTATTTTCCTTCCCAATATTTGTATTTATTTGGGATCCGTTTAAGACGACCTCTGAATGTCTTCTTCTTTTTGTGGCTGTAAATTGTTGTGGGACTCCAAGTAAATTATTTGTTGTTAGAAAGCGGGATTCTAATTCTTAAAAAAAATTTTCTATGATTTCTATACATTTATGTAGGTATATTAAAAAATATTGTGTCCAGAGGATCTCGCTATAAAAGATACCTTAAGATTTGATAGCCACTGAGTGGGAATCAGTGCTTCGAGATTGTGGTAAGAGCTTCAAAGTAAGCCTCGAAGCACAGGGTGGGATGGACAATGTTTAGGCTTCGATCTTAGACCTTGATTGGAGCTTAAGAAATAGTTGGACAATGGTAGACTTCGATCTTAGGCTTTGATTGGAGCATAGGAAATAGATCCAATATAAGATTCCCTTCGTTATAAGGGGCAATATTATCAGCCTCGAAGGGGCATCTTATTGTGATGTCTAACTTATGTAGTAGGTGTGTGTATATTCTAGGATCCGATTTTTCAAATATTAATTACTATTCAACCATTACTATTCAACCAACAATATTTTTAATAATTTTAAAATTCGAACCACAAATATTCAATTTAGTTTTTTGATAAGTCTCAGTTTCATTAGGCGGAACAGTTATTGCATCCAATAAAATAGAAGGTGGTCTACTATTTATTGAATTAATACTGCTCAGATCATCACAATCAATTGAAGTTTCGATTGATGAACGAAATAATATTTTTGGTCGGTCTTCTTTTGTGTTGTTACTGTTATTACTTGAATTTTGGCCAGAGCCTGAACTTGTTGCTTGGAGGATATGTTGAAGCTTTAAAGTCGAATTATTTAAAATAATTTAATTGGGAGGAGCATGCAATATGGTAGGAACATAAAAACATGTTCTATGTTTTAGTGCATGTATTCATATTTTATTTAGGGGTGTGGAGGTCGAAGCCTCGCCGAGGCCGAGGTCCTCGCCCATTTTCCAATCTCGGTCTCGCGCAACCCTAATTTTATGCACTCTATAAGAACTAACACCCTTTAGGAACCCTTTTAGGCACCTTTCCTATCAGAATTTTGCATTTTTAAGTAAAATTATATATTAGCATGATCTTTAGACACATTTTGGGACCCATAATTATTAACAAAAATATTAATTTACTTGTTCTCTTTCACTTTCATTTAATGAGGATGCATGTTCTGCAGCAGTTTCTTCAATCTTTTTAAGTAGAGGCTTTTCCCAAGTTAACATATTTCGATGTTTTTGTTCTACACCTCTGACTGTCTCTATTGCTGATGTAGCTATATTTCCAATATCAGCTCCAAAACCTAGAAATTGGCCCCCAGCCATTTCTTGAAGTTGAATGGCTCGAAGACGACGACGTAAAGTGTAGAAGATATATCTTTTTAAATACACAATTTTATTTTAAATTATTCTATAGCTGGACCTCGCATGAAATACGCTCGATGAAAAAATTTGTATTTAATAATGAGAGGTAGATTAAATTGGAGGGGGGGATTGCTTAGACAGATTTTCCCACATCCAATTTTTTAAATTATTAAAATACGCCATAGTCACAACGCCAAAACCAGACAAAAACAATGCCAAAACGAACGCCAGAATCATGGCTCTAGCTCCACTGACCACAAATTAAAAAATCGAGGTATTGGCTTATCTTCATAGCGAGGTCCGATCTGTAATTTAATTACCCATAAATAATAGACATAAAAATCAGAGGTAGAAAGAAGGCAAAAATAGAAGAACCAAACCTTTAAAAATATTTTTTGGATAATTTTCAAAAAATTTAACAAACATATAAGTTGGATTATAAATTCCACAATGATGTTTTTCTATTAAAAATAAACGAGTTTCTGCATTTGAGCCAAAAACGAGGGGTAAAGAGAGTAAAATGCTGAATACCCAACAGAAGAGAATTGAAATATACACTCTAAATTTTATTAAATTTTTAAATTTTAATTAGAAATCAACCTTCTTCTGTGTTTATGTGTTTTATATTCAGCAGGTTTTGTGGCAGCCACTAGCCTGAAAACATTAGTTAATTTTTAACGCTTCTAAATTCTTCCTAAAAATGAGGTACACTGACTTCAAGTGACTTAACTTTAATCATAATTAAAGTTCAATTTTAGGTAATAACAAAAAGTTGATAGAGTAAAAGTAAAGGTAGCTCATCCCTAGAAATCGGACATGGACAGGAGGATTCCCGAGATAGCGATCTCAATTCTCGTATGATCCTTCAAGTCCTATCTATAATGATCCCTGCTTTCTAAACGATACCGCTATTTAATATGCAACTTATTCCAAGATAAAAATTTCAAACCCAAGCTGATTCTTATAACAAGTCGGGTTATGTTTTTTAATTATTAATAATATTATTAATCCTGCTTCACGATTCGTGAAATCGTGTATTTAAAAATAAATTTAATAACCTATCCATACTAATTAACAATAAATGAATTATCGAAGAAGTTGAGGCAAGAACATCAAGTACACAATACATATAACAAATAGTTATAGATAAATGCCAATGAAGTGAATTAACCTTCATTTAAAAATTTTTTTAAAAATTTCCAAAAAATAATTTACAGTCATATAAATATGGAAAGGCATAACCATTGTGCCGACCATTAAATCAGCACAGGCAAGACTTAATAACAAATAATTGGTCGGGGTTTGAAGTGATTTGTTTGAAAGAACGGCAGCTACAACAAGTGTGTTACCTTTAGATGTTAAAAAATTTTTCTTGAGATTTTTTAAATTTTCGTATACCAATAATACAAGAAATAGGCATTGCAACAAGTATAAGCCAAAACCTATTTCAAGAAAAAAAAGTTAGAAATAATTATTTAATATTTTTTTAAATATTGGATTCATCGCGGGCAAACATTTGCGGACATCAAAAACCAAATACATTAAGTAAACTCTCTAATAGAATGCCCACTCTCCATTTGAATACACTCTGAATGCCTCTTTGGAAGGTGATTTGAAAATAGAAAGACTGAGTGCTAAAAACGTCCAAAACTTATTTTTCAAATTCTCAAAAAAGTCAAGACCAAGACAAAGAGTTTACCCCAAGACCAAGAGCGAAAAAAAAACTCAAGAAAGTTCTTGGAATCAAGACTCAAGACCAAAAGTCTCGGACGTCTCTACTGGGCGCCAGACGTCTCTAATGGCCACAGCTGCCTTAATCCAATGTATTTATGCAAGAATACATGGGACATTACTATCTTTAAGTACAATTAGAGTCGAATTAGAGTCCGGCTCTATCAGTAGTTTTCAGAGGTCGGCCTGACCCTGACATTTTGGAAAAAACAGGTTTACAGGTTTACTTGGTCTCGGCCTAAAAAGCCGACCCTTCAAGTATCTCAATAGTTTATGTTAAAATGCATCGTCCCTATAATTATTTGTTATCCGCAAATATCGTCCGCAAATGGCTCTCCTCAGATTTTTTGTCCTTTGCATACCATTGAGGTTGAAAATCTACATCATTTCCGTTGAACTCAACAAGGGAATGTTTAAAAGAATTATTAGCTAAATTAAGATCCTTAAAGTTTGTTGTTTGTAATAAATTATTATTTACCGTATTTACTGAAATAGTACGGCCGGCCGTACTATTTTTCAACCCTCTTCCAAAGGGCCGTACTATATGAGGGGGCCGTTCTAATTGAGGGGGCCGTACTATATTTCAACCCTCCTTCGGAATTTTCTGAATAATTTTTTGGTTGTGCCATCCTAAACTATGTCTGTGTATATTGAATATTTCTTTGTTTTTTATTATACACCAACGAAATCCTTTTTAATCCCCCGATATCTACCCTGGTCCTCACAAATCCAACGTTATCTCCCTTGATCTCATAAATCCTCAGGTACGCATACAATTCCTCCTAAATCCTTTTTAATTTTTCAAACTCCTTAGATATCTTTCAAATCCCTTTATATGCCTGTTAGCCTTCAAATAACTTAACTTCTAATCCTTCTATATCCACATGTGGACTCAAAATTCGGACCCATTATACACAGCGGAAAAAATAATAATTTAATAAGATTAAAAAGGATTAACAGGGATACTGGGGATTCTAAAGGATTAAATTAGGGTTGTTCACTACCGGTTATTAACCGGTACCCCCGGTTTACGGTTTTGACCGGTTTACGACCCCCGGTTTTCGGTTTCGGTTTTTGACTGACCCCCGGTTTTCGGTTAACCGAAACCGGTTTATGCCTGAATTTTTCATCCAAAATATCCAGTTCTTATTTTAATCAATTAAAATGCTTCAATTAAATATTCTACAAATGGGGCACTGAAAATTATTTATTTAGAGCGGAAAGTGAAAATTTTGAAGATTTTAGAAGGCCATAAAGCCATATAAATGCTGGCAATAATACATTTGTTAGTTCCGGCTCCAGCTCTAGAGCCCGCGATTCATGAAGCCACTCCATATTGGCTAAGTGCACGGGCGAAAATCAATGGATAATATTGTGGATTGTGCCATCTTTTGCGCCGCATCTAGGTAGACTAAGGGAGATATCGAGTGATATCAGGGGATTAAGAAGGATATCAAGGGAATGAGCGGGATTTATGGATTATGCCATCTTTTTTTGCGCCGCGGGCGAAAATTTTGAGAATTTTGTAAGGCAAGAGCCAGAATTCTTCCCTTTCTAGCGCCGCAGGCGAAAATTTTGTGAATTTTGGAAGGCCAAGTGGCCAGATTTCTTCCATTTTGGAAATAAAATAAAAAAATCCAAAAAATTCAATTCTTAGGGGTGTAAATTTAAAAAAGCTCAAACAAGTCGAGACCAAGACCAAGATTACACCCTAAGACCAACACTAAAAAAATCAAGAAGTCTTGGAATCAAGACTCGAGACCAAGAGTCTCGGACGTCTCTACTACTCATTCTTGGATTCGAACCAAACAATAATAGTAAGACAAAAGCAAATTGAGGGAGGCCCATCAACTTAACCAATCAACCATACATACATCTCTGATATAAAATTAAAGAAATTATACATATTTATCGAAAACAAAAGTGTAAAAAATATTTTGGCAAGATGTCTTTTGCGAATTCAAATGTCCGAAAAATTCAAAAAATTCCATCTTTAGGGGTGTATTTTATAAACCGAAAAACCGGTCGGTTTAGGCCACCGGTTTTCGGTTTTCGCCGGTTTTTGACCCCCGGTTTTCGGTTTCGGTTTATTGGCCAAAAACACCGGTTTTCGGTTCCGGTTTCGGTTCGGTTAACCGACCGTGAACAACCCTAGATTAAATTTAATATCAAAAAACTTTGCGTGGCATCGAGTGATCAAGAAGATATGGTTGGATTTGTAGTGATATTGAGGGATATGAGGGGATTTTAAGAGATTAATGTGAATATCAGTGAATATATATTGTGGACCTGGGGATTCAAGCGACTTGGGGATTCCTTTGATCGCTTTTAGCCGTATCTATCCTTTAGCGTATCTATCCTTTGTAAGGGAGCCCACAGTTGTCTTAATAGTTTAATAAGAAAAATGGATTTAACTCACGACTCTCGGCTTTTTTTAACTCCCGACCATCACTACTATACTACTAAAAGTTTAAGCACCAGTTAAATCAATTTAAACTTTTATGTTCCTAATTTATTTCTAAAAATCATACTTAGCTTATTATTCTTCTTTTCTACTTAAAATTAATTTCTTATCATGGACTCTTCAAATAAAGCTACCAAACGTCCATTGACAACATCCCCGCAACTTCCTGCAAAACGACAGCAATTCCTAGACCAAATCTCTGAATTAAATTTTGATTCTCTTGAGGGAGATACTTCAATTTCCCCCGTTGCTCGTACAATAATTTCTCAACTAGGAAATCTTCTTAAAACTGCAGCTAGCATAATTTCTGATATGTCACAACAGCAACAACTTCCAAGTCAAAATATCGACAATTTTTCCGAAAAGGAAAGGCAACGATCAATTGTTATTTCTGGGCTCCCACGGTCAACGAATCCGCTTCCTTCTGCTCGGGCAAATGAAGATAAAAACAATGTTACATGTATTCTCGATCAGTTGGGGGTCGAGATTTGTCCCTTAGCCGTTTACCGGTTGGGCAAGGACAACCCAACTCGGACAGGTGCTCCACCTTTAGTTAAAGTTCTTTTTCCGGCCACATTTTTTCAGAAGGCTACACTCCGCTCATGGTCTGAACAACGTAAAAAACTCAAGGGAATCCCATCATACCGTAATTTAAACATTCGTGAATCAATGTCACCGGAACAACTAAAAGCACGCAAATTATTACAAGAAGAATGCAAACAAAGAAGGTTAACTGATAAAGGTGATTGGATAATATACGCAAATACTATTGTTCTTCGTGAAAAAGTTAATGAACTTCGTAAGTCTCTCTCATAGGATAATGCGGGGTCTCACAATATTGTACAGGGAAGCCATAAATTTAATACTAATATAAAAAATAATAAAGTCATTCCCTGTACAAAAATCTCTACACCATTAAATCAAAGTATTAATAATCGAGATGCGTCAATACATAATAAGGAAAAAACCATAAAATCGATTTTCTTTAACAGCCGATCAATTATCAAAAAAATTAATGAACTAAAAAATTTTATCTTTTTACATAATTTCGAAGTTATTTTTATTTGTGAAACCTGGATCATAGACAATAATATTGCACCCAATGAATTAAGCTTTAATAACAATTTCTCAGTTTTCATGTCTAACCGCCTTACTAAAGAAAAAAAAAGAGGCGGGGGAGTCCTAGTGTTGGTAAAAAATTCTATTAAAACGGTAGAAATTCATAAAGAAAATGAATTTGGTTACGAAATGGTCATACTAGATATCATCAAAAAAAATTATGAAAATATCCGTTTAATATGTGTCTATTTTCCACCTAACCTTAAAAAATCTTCTAATACTAAACTAATTAAATCACTTACTAAATTCTATACCCCCACAACAATCATCTGCGGGGACATAAACAAGCCAAAAATTAATTGGACAGAATATATATCCCCATTAGCAAATGATCGAATGTTTGTAGAGTTTCTTCTGAATTTTGGATTCAAACAACTTATTACAAAACCTACCCATATTTCTGGTTCCATTCTAGATTTAGTTATTACAAACCAAAATAATCTAATCAATAACGTCTCCATAGAACCTAGCTTTTCAAATTCTGACCATTTCTCGATAAAATTTTATATCAATACTAGTAAAGAACGTACGGTAATTTCAAGATACAAAAATCTAACATTGGATAATATAAATAAAATTAAACCATTATTAGCCTATAATTTTGGGTTCATGGAATCAATACCATACATTAAAAATAATGTTAACACTAGATTCGAGAACATCTTTAACTTAATACAAACAATCATTGACCAAAATATTCCACTGATAACATTCAAAGAAAACACTGGGCAGAAATACCCACGCTACATAAGAAAAGCCATTAGGGAAAAATACAAACTCTTTACCCTATATAAAGCCAATAATGAGTTGAAAAATGAATACAATAAAATCTGTAACAAAACAAAGTATCTGATTAATAACTTCCTAAATTCCAAAATCTCCAAAATTTCAAACAACAAATCAATGATTAATAACTTCATTAAAAACTCAATAAAATCGAAACAAAATATCCCAGTACTATTATATAATAATAAATACATTTTTGACGATAATGAAAAATGTGAAATATTCGGAAATTATTTTTCAGAAATTTTCATTAATAATTTTGGGACTAACAATAAAAAACCAGAATTCACATTAAATATAAAAAATACACTAGAAGACATAGACTTTGACATAATAACAGTGGCAAATACACTTAAAAACCTCCCTAATAAAAACTCTACAACTCAAAATGACATATCTTATAAGATTCTAAAAAACTGTCACGACATCCTGGCACCCACACTTTGCGAACTATTCCGTAACTCACTAGACTCTGGGGACATACCTGACAAATGGAAAAATTCAATAATAATACCTATTTATAAAAATGGCAACAGAGCATGTATTCAAAACTATCGCCCTATCTCACTAACCTCCACAACATGTAGGGTCTTTGAAAAAATACTAGCATCAGAAATACTAAAATTTTTATTGGAAAATGATCTAATCTCAAAACATCAATTTGGGTTTCTCCCCAAACGGTCCACTACCACACAAATGATTCTTACACTTACAAAATGGTATGAGGGATTAATAAACAACCAAAATATAGATATAATTTATGTCGACTTCCAAAAGGCCTTCGATAAGGTTCCAATAAACTATTTACTAGAAAAATTATATACGTATGGAATTAGGGGAAAAATACACAAATGGATTACAAATTTTTTACAAAATAGAACATTCTCTGTGGGAATTAAGGATGAAAAATCAAAAACATTCACTACCCATTCAGGTGTCCCACAAGGTACCATTTTAGCTCCTTTACTTTTTACTATATACATAAACGACCTACCTACAAGACTAGGGCCTAATATATCTCCATCACTATATGCTGATGATTTAAAAATAACATATTCATATAAAACAAACGATAGCCTTTTGCAAGAAAAACTAAATATTTTAACTGAATGGGCGAAAGGTTGGGGACTAAACATAGCTCTAAATAAATCCTTCACACTTTATATAGGAAGTAAAAATCCAAAAAAATCATATAAGCTAGAAGATCACCACTTACAAGAAATGAGTATAATAAGAGACCTAGGCATACTAGTAGATAATAATCTATCATTTAACAAACACATAAAAACAATATCTAGAAACGCATTCCTTAGGTGTCATCAACTACTAAGAATCATACATACTTATAATCCCAAAATTTGGGGCAATTTATTTAAAACCTATGTACTTCCAATACTCGAATACGCATCACCTTTATGGAACCCTAAGCAAAAAGTTTTGATTAATACTTTAGAAAAAGTACAAAAATTTTACACAAGAGTCGCCCTTAAAAAATGTAGAAACAAAAAATTCAAATATCAAGACAGGTTAAAATTATTCCAATTAGAACCTCTTCTCATAAGAAGATATTACATAGACTTAGTCACAATGTATAAAATATACTTCAATCTAACAAGCTTAAACCCTAACGAAATGTTTATACAAAATTCTAGGCCTACTAGAAAACACAATTATATGATCCAAGTTTCACATAAAAATAATAAAACTTCGAATTCTTTCATTAACAGAACAACAACCATTTGGAATTTACTCCCTAAGGAAATTTTTATTGACCATACAATTAACAAATTTAAAAACAATTTAAAAATATGCCTACCCCCAATCCTGGGAAAACTCAACATATCAATTTAACCTACCCTAAGAACAACACTAAAAAATTTAAATAATTGCCGAAATTATGTATTGACTTTCTCACACTACTTATAAATAAATATACATACCATCTAAAATAATTTTTTGTCTAAACCTACCACGCCCAAAACATTTATAAACCAAAATTCCTATCTCAACTCGACCCCATTTTTATTTTTTATGCTTATTTTTTAAAAATGATTTATTTTTCGTTTTTTTTATTAGTATTTTTTTTGTAACCAAAATATATATTTTTTAAGAATACTTATTTCAACTTTCTTTTTAAGCACCAGTTAAATCAATTTAAACTTTTGTGTTCCTAATTTATTTCTAAAAATCATACTTACCTTATTATTCTTCTTTTCTACTTAAAATTAATTTCTTAACATTATTTTTACATTTCAATCATTACATATATTTGTATACATTTTTTCTCCATATTAGCGGTATATTGTATACCCTTTGGAGTTATGAATAAATTTGAAATTTGAAATTTAATATTGTGAGGATAATTAATTCTTATTTAAATAAGCATAAACATGACGCCAAACGCTACATCAAAAATTGAAAAATAAACGGAAATAAACAAAATTTAATTTAGGGGTTTTTAAATGGGGGCCGTACTAATAAGGGGGCCGTACTAATTGAGGGGGCCGTACTATTTTTCAACCCTCATCGAAAGGGCCGTACTATTTGAGGGGGCCGTTCTAATAAAGGGGGCCGTACTATTTCAGTAAATACGGTATATTATTATTGTTGTGAAAATAATTATGAGTATCTCCATATAATTTAAAAAGTATCATCTATATGTAGTATAATTTAAATAATTTCTTTAAAAAAATAAAATAAAATTTTAAAATTAGGTAAATAAATATGTAAGCTATTGGATCTACAAGAGATTTTAAAGGGTCTGAAGTGGAGACCGGATTGGGAAGTCGTGAGAGAATCGAGATCGATATCTCATTAAATTTTTCTTTTCGAATCCCAATCATGTCTGATCCTTATTTTGAAGGGTCAAACCTGTTTTAGAAAATGCTTCACCGGAAGTTCGGGATTAGGAACTCAAATTGGATCCTGTTCCGGTCAGCTCAAAATTTCGGACCGGTGAAGCACTAATGCTTACATTAGGCTGTGGGATCCCTCAAACACAAACAAAAAATAGAAAACGTTAACTCCTGGAAAGAATCCATTTATCCTTTATTTTAGTTTTCTGAGGGAAAATTGGATTTTAAGCATTAGAAAAGCGAGTAACAGATTCCTAAGAATTTACAAATTTTAGGTTTAACTATTAAAATATTAAAAAAAAATAATTTGAGTTTAAATTTAATTTCAAAAAAAACTCTATTTTTAATTATTTTTTCTGTTTTTCTATCAAAAAATTAGCAAGTTTTTGTTGGGAATGTGTGTGTTTCAATTCTAAATTAGGAGAGCATTCCTTAGTCTGTGATGCATATTTTATTTATTTTTTATTTTATTTTGAAAAAAAGCTGACGGAAAAACAAAAGAAAAATAAAAAGAAAGGAACGATAAGAAATTAACAATAAATATTTTTCAATATTAAATAAATTTATTTAAATTGGTTTAACAAAAAAACAATAAAAATTATATTATAATTTATACGCTTTTTATCAGTCACAAAATTAGAAAAAAATCTTCGATCGAGTAGTTGAAAATAAATTTAAAAAAATTTACAAATATTAATTTACAAATTTTGGGTAACTCAATAGGGTTGGGGGCCCGATCCGGCCCGGCCCGAAAGATCGAGTCGGGCATTGAATTTTGGCTCGAAAACGACTCTGTCGAACAGGCCCGAAAAAATGAGACCCGAAAAAAATGACTCGAACGTCAGCCCGACTCGAAAACCCTAACCCTATACCCCAATTATAATTGAGATTTAACTCCTTTAACTAAGGTTTACGGACTCAAGAAATCCCTGAATATCCGTATCGTATATCCGAACCAAAAATTCCAAGATCTGTCAACACTAACTTTAACGTGATTGAAAAATTTTTATTTTTATCTGTTATATCGCCTTTTATCAGTCACAAATTAGAAAAGGTCTTTGATCGGTGTACGGAATTTTGGTCATTGGAATTTTGGTAACTTTAGTTATGGAAAATAGTTTTTTTATTAAAAAATTATTTTAAAATATCAAATAGTAGCAGTATATCAAGAAAAAATTTTTTTCTGAATAATTAAATAATACAAATAAATAGGTAATTAAGTTATGTTTTTTAAAGAAAATTTTTTAATAAATTTTTAAAAAAAAGGAAACAATTTTTGGTTGGTTAAAAAAAAGATTAAAGAACAAAAAAAAAGTTTTTTTTCTTCCATAAAATTTCTCTTGGGAAAAGCTATTTTCTGTCAGTTTAAAGTAATTGAAAATTGTTTTAAATAGAAAAATCTCTTTACATCTTCCTTTTATTTTCCGTTGGGAATTTTTATAGAAAAAATTTTTTTTGTAAAGTTAAAAGGAAGTACATAAATGTAAAAAAGAGTAAAACACGAAAATAAATTTATTAAATAAAAATAAAAAAAATTTTCTTATAGTAGATGAAGGTACTTTAAGGAAAAAATTTTTTTGCGGATTCTTAACAAACCTAAAAGTAAATTTATGGAGAGTGGAAGCTTACAAGAAGCTGTTTACTCTTAAAATTAGGGCCCAGACTGGTAGGTTCGTATGAGCATCGAGAGTTCGAAAAAATCTCAATCTCAATAACCATGATTTTTTATCGAGATCTTGTCTCGGTCCGTGGCTACTTAAAGTATTAAATATTTTGAATGGAAAAATAAAAAATACAACTTTGAGGATGAAAAAATAATAACGAGGCGTATATTAAATAGAAAGGGTCGTAATTAAATAGGGGATATCGCTTCGGCAGCTCACCTATTATGTGGTCCATACAAAATACACCCTTGAGTTTGAAAAAATTATAATAAGGCGTAACTTAACTATGAGATATCGCCAGTTAAACAGGAGGCATCGCTTAAGTATAACGCCTCTACACTGTCGTGACCAACCTAATTTTATGAAAGATACCTATCCTAAAGCGAGGTTATCTTAGAGGTATTTAAAAATGATTTAAAAACGTGGGTACCTAGCTTAAATGTAATTATACCTTTGAAATATTTAAATGAGATTTTGCTGAATTTTAATAAAAAAAGATTTTTTTTAAATCCTTTCAATTTTAGGAAAAATTATTTTTATAAATGTTCATTTATGTAAATTAAGTTATAACTTATATTTTTATTATTTGATTGTGTTATGTATTTTTAAAGAAGGGAACAGCTAAAAAGAGTAAAAAAAATTTTTTAGCTTAATCTTATTGTTAATAAATATTTTATAAGCTTGGGAATGCATACACCTCACCGCCGACCTAATTTATTCCCAGTACACTTCTAATCTATACAAAATTCAGATCCCTTTATTTTCGGCATGATTCGACTCCTTTCTTCAAAACCCATCGAATTATACCCATTTCAACGAGTTCCGACCATTTCCAGGTATGTTACGGTCCCCGCGACTAGTACGAGTCGCGCCAAAGAGGGTGCTCCCCTTAGGGATTGGCATAAAGGGAGAGAATAACTTTGTGTGCCAATAAAGGAAAGGCGTAGGAGGTGAAGCTTAAAGAGGGACGAATTTTTGAGTAAAATAACTAGAAAAAATGTCGATTGTATTGAAGAGATTGTTTGATTATTAAAACCCTTTAAGCGCTGTTCGATAACTAAAATTGAAGTATTTTATAAGAAAGGAAATGATGAATTAGAAAATGAAAAAAATAATTTTGAGGTACTTGGGAAAGGACTAAATAAAGGATAAAAAAATTCCCTTAAACTTTAAAAAAATAAAAAAACAATAAAAAAAATAAATAGAAAAATAAGGGAAAAAACAGGAAAATCTACTAATTTAATTTTTTAAAACAAAAACAATAAAATAAAATTAAATTTGGAACAAAAAGGATTAAATTTATTTAAACATCAAAATAGAAAATAGAGCAAAACAAAAAAATATTAAACTAAAAAAATTGGGCTCTACTCCAGTTTATGCGTCCAATCAACTTTTATGCGTCCAATGAAAGTTTATGCGTCCGATAAAAAGAAAATTGGATTTTTCTTGGTATTGCGAAGTTGGGGTATGGTTCCAAAACATTTATTCATGTTCGGGACCTACGCCTACTGGGTCTGGGACCGTTCCTTACCCTATCGCTCGAAATTTCTTAAAGTTACAATCGTTTTTCTGAAATTTTTAAAAATTGGCTATAACTTTCAGAAATTTCGAGGAATAGGGCAAGGAATGGCTCCAGACCCGGTGGGCGTAGGTCCCGAACATGAATAAATGTTTTGGAACCATACCCCAACTTCGCAATACCAAGAAAAATCCAATTTTCTTTTTATTGGACGCATAAACTTTCATTGGACGCATAAAAGTCGATTGGACGCATAAACTGGAGTAGAGCCAAAAATTGGCACTTCTGCCGTTTAAAGGGGCCTGAAGGAAGCTGAAGAAGCCTTATTTTTGAACAATAATTTAGGTAGCTATTTTTATTTGGTAAAGCATGGACATAATTTTTGTCACGTTTAAGCATAGAGGCAAATACATAAAGTAGCTGCAATTCTGCGCGTCTTGCTGAAGTCCGAATTAAGGGTTTGCCAGTTTCGCTTGTTTGTTCGCCACTTTCGGCACGCCCATGGGTGCATTATGGGCTTGTCTCATGTGTTGAGAAAGAATTTCAGTACGGAAATCTATCAGGATTACCATCTATGCTATTCAATTTCAATTTATTACGTCATGTTTGACGCGCGATCAAAAAAAAATATACAGAATAAGTGGTCAATAATATATAAATTATAGTTCAGATAAACTGATATTTATAAATAGTTCAACTATACTTTAATTAGTTTTAAGGGAGGTTATGTGTGAAAACAAATCAAAATTATCCAATAGTTTTTTAAAATTAGTGGGAAATTATTTGGATTTGTAATTTACTATTTGGATTGCCCACTTATTTAATAAAATTTATGTAAAATGGCTCACAAACGATAAAAAAACCCTCAAAAATCACGAACAGAAAAAATAATTTAAACAAAAATTAAAACAGAAAAATTACAACAAATATCCTAGGAAAAATAAAAATGAATGTTTTGTTCTGTTTTTATGACTAATCTTATTTTTTTAAAAACATTTTTTGCCCTTTCTGAACGAGTCAGTAAATACAATGTGAATAATACAAAATTATTTTTTAAAAAGTTTTGTTAAAAAAAATTTTTTTTAATTAAAAAAATTAATTTTTTGAGAAGCTAATTTAATATAAAAATTTAATTTTGGACACAAAATAAATTAGAAATTAAAATTATTTTTGGAAATTAATATAAAATAAAATTAAATATTAAATTATTTATTTAATTTATTTCTTAATTTAACATAAAAAGCGAGAAAATTTTTTTTTAATTTTTAAATATTAAATTTTCAAAGTGAGAAACACCTGGAATCAAAAAAATAAAATATTTTTTAGTAAAAATTAGAGACCGGAATTTTGTGCTACACGGTATTACGTATTTAAATAACGATACAGATAAATACCGATAAAATTCAAAATTTTACCGTGCCATTCCGTACCATATTACCTACTATAATACCCATAAATACCGCAAAATACCGAAAATACCGATATATTTTCAGCGGTACCGTATTACTATACTGAAAAAATAAAAAAATTCCGTATCGTACTACCCATACTAAAATTCCGTATCTAAAATTCCGTATTTTAGATATTTTTTCTGTTTGTATTTTTTGAGAATTTTTATTAGAGACCGTACCGAGACGAGATCTCTATCAAAAATCTCGGGTATCGAAAACGATCCGTATCTAAAATCCGTACTAAAATTCCGTATCGTACTACCGATAAGGAATACCGATAAATACCGAAAATACATTCGTCCGGTCTATAGTTAAAATTTAATTTGATATTTAGAAAATTAAGGAAATTTTTTTAAATTTTGAATAATTAATTAAATAAATAATTGAAAAAATAATTTTTAAAATTAAAAAGAAAAATTTTTTTTTATTTTATTAAAATTGATTATTTAGCCTTTTATTTAGATAAATTTTTATTTTATTTGATTAATTGTTTGGATATTGTTTAGGGGATATAAAAACATTATTTGATTGATTATTGAAAAATGTGGATATATTTTAAATAAATAAATAATTTTTTATTTTAAAAATTATTTTTAAAATAAAATGGAAAAAAATTAAAATAATAATTGGTTCTGACGGGTTTTCAAGATTAATAACTTTAATTAGTTTTGGAAAGTCATAACAAAATTTCGGCTTTATTTCATTCTCACAATTTTCAAAAAAAACTCGGGGGAGGGCGTCGATCCGCTGATTTTGAAAAACCAGCAACTCTAATTCTGATCTAAAGGCCGATCAGCCCTATGCGAATTGCCTGACATAGGTTGATTGAATTGGTTTGTCAACAACTTTTTGTAATGCTCAACCTACTGAGCTATCTGAGGATAATTCTATTTTCTTTCTATAGGGTTTAATCCCCGCATATCCGATAAAAATGCTAACAACGAGATATTACACCTTACACCAGGGCTGAGCGTCATGACGTTTGGAGTCTATTTTTGACCGATTTTTGGCGTTTTGCGTTTGGCGTGTTTTCAAAATTTGAAAAATTGGCGTTTTGCGTTTGACGTTTCCCCGTGAAAATTTTGGCAACAGCCCTACCTAGCAACAATAATCAAACTCTAATAATAAATTTTTATAATAAAATTTAATAGAAACAAAGAAATTAACTACGAAAATGACATAAAAAATAAAATTAAACTTAATTTCAAAAAATAATATTTAATTTATAGCCATGCATATTTATTTCGTAATAAAATAATTTTGGGTAAAATTCCGTCATATACCCCATGGCCAAAATTAATAAAAAACTATTTTATGTTACTGGTTATGCTCTAAAATGTATAGCAAATGTAATTTTAGAGGCGCGCTCTAGAAATTTTCAGAGAAATTGGGAACGAAATGGTCAAAAATCATAAGACTCAAAATGGTCAAAAATTTAAAATTTACAAAACATTTCGATCAAAATATATGTTGTTCGAAAGAGCTCCTCGAGCTGAGTCGAATGACACCAAAATCAACGAAATCCGTCTTGGTTTGACAAAGTTATGATCGTTTCTTTTAGCTCCTTACGTATAGCATCCGTGGAGTTTTTGCTGTTGTGGAAGAAGCTGGGCATTCCCATCTCATTGATGATAGGAATAGGACCATGTTACGAGCCCAGACCCATCGCCCGTAGACTCCCCGCGAGGCGCGTGCCGCAAAACCCCGCGCGAAGCGCGGGGTTTTGCACAAGCGCCTCGCCGACGCTCCATAGGTTTACGTTGCTTATTATTTGTATCGTAACTTTGTACAGACTTGTTAGAACACGTTGAATTTGGTGTCTTTCAATTCGCCTCAACGAGCTCTTTCGAATAAAATATATTTCGATCGAAACGTATTTTAAATTTAACGTTTTTGACCATTTTGAGTCTAATGATTTTTGACCATTTCAAGCCCAATATCTCAGCAAATTTCTAGAGCGCGCCTCTAAAATTACATTTGCTATACATTTTAGAGCATAAAAAGTAATATAAAATAGTTTTTTATTAATTTTGGCCATGGGGTATATGACGGAATTTTTCCTAATTTTGACATAAATTGGTATGAAAAACAAACGGCATGAAAAAAAATTTTTTTAACTGAGAAAAATTAGAAAAAATGACACTTTTCCCTCAAAAATATATTGTCTATGTATAAATGAATATAATTGAATGAGTGAATATTGTGTTGGTTGAAGCGCAAAAAAAGGAAAAATATAAGCTTTTTCCATACTTTTATTAGCGAAAAAGTAAATTAGTAATTCTGTGCCAGTAAATAAATAAAAAAAATATTTTTTTAGTTAAAAGTTTTGTCTTTATTTGAATAGATAGGCATTAGATATAAATATGTATTATTTTAGTACATGCTTATTTATTGAATTGTTCCAAGTATATTTTTTATTAGGAAATAAATATGTACGTGTATTTTTTAATAAAAAATATTTTCGTGACTTTGATTTTAAAATCTAATAAAAATTAAAAAATAAATTCATTCTTTTTATAGCTCATAAATGGAATAGCATGTCGGAAAGGAGTTTACAAAAAATTTTTTGAGGTGAATCGGCGTTGATATAAATAATTTTTGAGGGGATTTTGAAGCAATAGCAATAAAGTAAATTAGTAATATCGAAAACCTGAATTTCAATGAGTTGCCAACGACTCCCTCTCAAATCATAGCTGGTTTGATTAAATACAGGAAAATGGCAGAAGATGGAGGAAGATGTTAAAGATGTCCAAGACAACTAAACAAAGATTAATAATGACAACTAAATGACAACTAAACAAAGATTTATAAAAAGTAATCCTTTGAAAAAGTCTATTTTTAGTAGAGTTCAGCGGTATCGGGATTTTGAGAAAAACCCGGGATCGGGATTTAGGAATGGTGATCCCGATCCCGATCCCGGATCCCGACACGGGATCGGGATTGGCCAAAATCGGGATCGGGATTTGGGGTGGAGATCCCGATCCCGGTCCCGATCCCGAATCGGGACCGGGATTGAAAAATCGGGATCGGGATTTACTTAAAATTATTTTAAAAATTTTTAAATTTTTATTTTCTTTACATATATACAACTCAGTATGATTCTAAAATTGCCACTGCAGTGCTGAAATATTGAGTTTAAGTCTCATAGACGCATAATTTACTTTCAGGGGATTAAGGGGGGATAAGGTACTGGCGGGAATAAATGGGATTGGGCTTCTTCTATTTTAAGCGCCGCAGGCAAAAATTTTGAAAAATTTGGAAGGCCAAGGTGCCAGATTTCCTCGCTTTTAAGCGCCGCAGGCAATATTTTTTAATTTTGGAAGGCCAAGGGCATTCAATCTAAACGTTCAAGTCTATACGATTAAGTGCGTTACGTTCAAATGTGGACGATTAAGAACTGAGATTGAGGGATTAAGTGATATATTCATGTAGTAATATCTCTTAAGCCCTCGATTTCTCTTCAAATCTAACTTAATCCCTGTAAATTCACCGATAACCTTCTATACTACAAATCCACCTATACTTTTCTCAATCCCTCTTGATCCCTCGATATCACACCAAATCACTCAATATTTCGTTAAAGTTGTAATGACAGCTTTGTTTATTTTTGCGGCGCCGCAGGCAAAAATTTTGAGAATTTTGGATGTCAGATGCATTATTCTTCCATTTTCCGCGCCGCAGGCGAAAATTTTTCTTATTTTCATGCCTCCGCTCTTTTGTTAACTTTATTTCACAGGCTTCTAGTCAATTTATAAAGTCGGGATTTGCACCGGGATCTGCTGCACATCCCGATCCCGATCCCGGATCCCGGCTCGGGATTGAGAATGACCGGGATCGGGATCGGGATATTTATTTCGGGACCGGGATCAGAAAAATCGGGATCGGGATTCGAAAAACCCGGGATAATCCCGCCCGATTCCGACCGGGATCCCGATCCCGCTGAACTCTAATTTTTAGTAACACTAATTTGAAAACGATGAAATTTGAACACAATAAAACATAAAAACATATTTAACATTTCTGATATAATACTGAAATTTGAATTATTTCACTACGTCATTTTTTACGACATTTCCACCTCTAATTTATTTAGATCACTCAATCATAATTTGACTGTCAATTAGAGATCGGACAAATGGCAAAATCAAATATTTGATTAAATAAAATTTGATGAAATAATTTTTTAATCCGATTTCTACTCAATTGGATATAAGTTCACGTTCACATTTAACGAAGTATATATTTTGTCGAATACTCATGTATTTAGCAAAAGTTTTTCAAATGTAGAGTACAATGTATAGTATATCAAAATGTAGAGTAAATGAGAATCAGGGCTAGGAAATGCTGAGAAAATTCCTAGACTAGGTTCGGGCCGGGTTTCAAACATTTCCTGAGTCTGGTTTCAGATGAAAAAAAGCCTGGGCTAACCGTCCTTATATTGACTAACCGTCCTTATCCCTGATAAACACATATACGTAAATGATTCAATTGGTAATAATTTTATACTAATTTTAAAAATTTCAAATATTATTTTTAATATTGTTTTCTTGTCATCTATTTTTGATAAATTAAAGTATCATTCTAAATTTTTTATTAAAATTTTTTTATTAAAAATAAAATTAAAAAAGTTAAAAAATTTATTTTGGTTATTGTTGTTGTTTGTGTGAAAACAAAAATAAAAAATATTTATAATTGCTTTTCTTAAAATTTAAAGAGGAAATAAATTTTTAATTTAAAAATAAATTGAATATAAATAAATTTTTTCAATATTTATTTTTTTTATAAAATGGGTACATTCATATATTTTAAAATTACTTTTATTTAATCTTAACTTTTGAGTACTCTGAATTTAAATATTTTTCTGATAAACGTATAAATTAAATAGAAAGTTGCTTTCAAATATAGGCTGCCATTCTATTTTAAGGGTGATTCATCTGGCAACATTTGAGGTTAAAATATTTAAAAGGAGAAAGGAAAACGAGGAGAATTTTGTTTTCTTGCTCATTTTAACTTCTCAAAATTTTCATCTGCTGTGTTGAAAAGGAACACTCGGAGTACATACTATCGGCCACATTGTTTTTACCCCTCCAAAAATTATTCTCGAGGTTCCCTCCTCAACGGACAATGTTTACTACTTCAATGGAAATTTAAGATACGTATCCGGACATCCACTGAATTACCCAGGGTCTGTCAAATCTAGAGATCAACCTGGCTCCCATATCTATTTTAAGGATTGTCCTTGCCGGTGTCAAAAGCAGGGGTGTCCGCAAATGAAAAAAATTTCCGCAGCAGCAATCTGCAATTGCGGACACCTCTTGTCCCGAGTGGTTTTACTAACTCTAATTCTAAATAAATTCCCCCTTTCAATATTTGCTTTAAAATTATTTAAAAATTCTTTTCTATTTTAAGAATTTATCAAAATATTTTCAAAATATTTTTTTATTTATTTTTATGTCAGGTGAAAAGTTCACATTCATTTAGCTCTAAATTGGCTAATTAAATTTAAAAATATTTGAAAGCTTCCTGTCAAAATAAAAAAAATTTTGTCTAAAAAAGGAATTTTGTTTACATTTTTTAATTTAATTTAAAAATGACCACACAATTTTATTTATTTTTTATACCTAAATATTTGCATATATCAGCTGGCAAAGTACTTTATTTTTACTTTAAAAGGATTTGAATTAATATGAAATTTAATTCAAAATTTGAATAATAAAATTAGATTTTTTAGATAATAAAATGAATAACAGATTATTTTTGCTAATATTCACAACATTAATTATTTCAACAAGTAAATAATTTTACTAAAATAATATTTTATTGAACGAATTAATTTATAGTTTAAAAAATCATTTAAATTAAAAAAGAACAAAAAATTTAAGAATAATTTGCGGTGTTAGATCCGAATATTCGGTTCCGAAATAGTCTGGTTATCGATGATTTCTTGTTTAGGATGTCAGATAAAAGAAGATTTCCCAGGCTCCGCGACCTTAGCTAAGTTTGAAGAAAATTCATAACGAATTTTTTTCAAACCTAGCTATTCTATCTTAAGGATGATTCAACTGGAAACCCTAACTGTTAAACCGAAATTTTTTGAGGCTATTGAAGAAGGAATATAACAAATTATAAAAATAGGAAAAGTTGATCGTAGGAAATCTTCTGATATACTCAGATTCGGATTCTAAATCTGAACAAAAATTTATGGACTTGATTTTCCCGGATCCAGACTAGAATGAATGGCTCTTCTGATATTAAATTTTTTCTAATGACTGATTAGCCGATTCTATAATTTCACTTTTAAATCCATTTCCATTACTAAAATTGTACCCGTTGTTGCCCGGAATATATTATAAATAAAAAATTTAATATTTCAGCAGTTAATGCCCTGTCAAAGCACGATCAGAAAGTAATTGTAGATTGTCATAACAATTATCGCTCTCAACTTGCAAATGGAAAAGTACAAAATCACACAGGAAATATGCCCCAAGGGGCTAATATTAAACAATTGAGCTATAGCAAAGAAGTTGAAGCATCAGCCGCAAAATGGGCAGAAAAATGTACAATAAGCCATTCTCATGGAAATTATGGCGAAAATCTTTTTATGTCATCAAATCCTAAAACGAAAACTGGTAAAAATGAATTTACTAGTGGAACAGATTATAAGATACAAGTTTGGCTTATAATGAGGGTTACCTTAAATAAAGGGATAAATTGTATCTTATGAGAGATACCTTAAATAGAGGGGATCGACAGCAGCTTACACAGGCCCTTATGTAAGATACACTTTTAGGGCTTGAAAATTGTGTCTTAGTATGAGAGGTGCCTTAAATAGAGAGCATATCTTTTAAGCAGCTCTAGTTCCATGCAGCGATCGAAAAAAAATAAATTAGTTGGGCTTCGGATCGGGGTTTCAAAATTTTCATAGGATTGGGTTTCAGGTTCGGGTAAAAAAGGTCCGAGTTTCGGGTCTCGGATTTCCGTAAGTCTGGGTTTGTGTTCATTGCTACCTAACGGCCATCAAGTTAACTCAGGCTTATCGAATATTAGGGTGTATTTTATAATGAAATCCGACCTAAAAGATTACTAAAATTAAACAAATTTTTAGCCGATGCATTAACCTATGCCTGTAATGCCTGGTGGGCAGAAGTAAAAAATATAGGGATTCAAGGAAATTTAATTATGGACAGAAGCCTCCCAGGAAATGGACACGCAACTCAAATGGCTTGGGCTACAACCACACAAATTGGTTGCGCTCTGGCTAGATGTCCAGCATCAAAATGGAAAACTTATCTTGTTTGCCAATATAATCCCTAGTTAAAATTTTTTAAATTTAAAAATTATTTTTCAAAAAAATTTTTAGCGGAAATGTTATTGGAAGGACAATTTATGAAAAAGGAAAACCATGTAGTGGTTGTGGTAATAATAAATGTAATTCTAATGGATTATGCAAATAAATGATTAATTAATGGAAAATGTTTGATGATTAAAAAAAGAAAAATACATATATAAAATTTTTATTTAATAAATGGAGTATATATAATACTATTAAATTAAATACTCTTTTGTAAGCTGAAAATACAATGATAAATTATTTAAATCCAAAGATGATTAGACGTAGAGGTCGGAATTTTTAAAAAACCGGGAGCCGGGAAACGGGTTCTGAAAGACGACCGGGAGGGACCGGGACCGGGAATTCCCGTTCCCGGTCTCATCCCGGTTGCTTCAAAAAACCGGGAAAAGGGACCCGAAAACCGGGAAACGGGTCCGGGTCCCGGACCCGTTCCGACCTCTAATTTAGACGAAATAATTATTTTTTTGTATTTGGGTATTTGAATTCTTTTTGATTTCCCCATGGAGCCGAAAAATTGTCTAATGCAAGAATAAAAATTTTTATTTTTGGAAAAAAGCATTGTCTAGATACCGTATTTTCTCGATTAATTCCCCTCCCTCGAATAATTCCCCTCCCTCGATTCATTCCCCATGCCATGGGAGGGTTGAAACAATAATTCCCCAGGGGAATTAATCGAGTAAATACGGTATACATATTTTCCAATCATGGATTTGAACATTTTTCCCTTAATTTGTCTCTAAAACATTTTTTCTAATTTATTTTTATCCGGATATTATCCGTATCCATGTGTGTCTGTTTGAAACAATTAATATATGTACAGACTGATTTTTAAATTTATAATAAAGGGATTAAAAACGAATATTCGTCCGGAAAATATTTTATACAAAAGAAGATTAAATAATTACAAGTTTAACAAAAAAAGTAGAAAATAAATTTTAAATAAATGAATTTTTTATCTGTATCTTTTTTTATTTTTGTTGATTTTTTTGTTGATTTTTCCTTTTTTGATTTTTTAATTTATAGCGAAAAAAGCCCGCCAAAATTTAACGACAATAAAGTCAATGGTTTTTTGTAAAGATTTTTAAAAATTTTTTTCCTTCATCTCTCCATCACATCGGCACTATCAGAAAAAATTTTAACTACTAGACTAGTTTATGAAGATTTTCCAAGTCAATCCCTCCAAATACACTCTTTTTTAATTTCTCATTAAACTCTTTAACCTCCTCAGGCATACATATTTCCAATCTACCAAGACAACGGAACGGACATGATTTGTGGTTTGCTGATACGGATGATTTAAACCATTTAAATATACATTCCCAATGGAAGTAATGATTACATTTAGTACGTACAATATCGTCGTCTTTTTTAAAATTTCTAAAACAGATTGAACAATTTTTTTGATTGGCCTTTACTGCTGCTTTAAATACGATCTCTTTCAGTTTTTTCTTGAATGAAATTAAATTATTAAATAAAAATGTTTTGGAAAATTTTCGTCCTTATTCCCGGAAACCGATTCAAACAAATAATATGTTATTTGACACCAAAATTAGGTCCTGGTCTCACTCATGGACCGAGATATAGGGCTCGAAATGGTCGAAAACTATAGGGGGAGTAAGCTCAATATAAGCTCAAGATTCTATAGATAAAATTCACCTCTATTCTCACCTCTATAGATCTTAAACCCCCGTACTAGATTTTCTCATCAAATTTGAATTTCTATAGTAAATTTCACTCATAAAATTTCAATTTACAGTACCACACTTTTCGATTTTCAGTTTTAAATTATTTTCTTGTATAAAATGATTACTTATTACAGTCGGATCTCACTCTTACATACTCTGAATAAGTGTGTACCTTTATCTTAAAGCGGTTATGTCGTTTAAATCAAAGGAACCTTATCAAAAGGAACCGAAACAAGATCAAATTTTTTCGTTCCGGGCCGAAACCGGAACTTTCGGTGAAGCTCTAGTGAAAACTCTTTAATAAAAAAATTTTTTAGTTGAATTTACTAAACTGTTTTATGAAAATTCTCCAAATCAAAACCACCAATACCACTATTTTCTAATTTCTCATTTAATTTTGTTACTTTTTCATGTATAATTATTTCCATTTGATGATTACACAAAGGACATAAGCGACCTTCGTTTTGTGAAATTTGTTGTTCGTTTTGTGACTTTGGTCGAAACTTTCGTTGAATCCTTTTCGATATATATCTCCAAAAGGCGAAATGTCCGCATCCACTCATCGAAGGAGTTGACTCCGTTGACTCAGATGACTTCTGTTTCGATCCTTTTAATAGGCAGTCCCAATGGAAGTAATGCCCACATTTAGTAAGCTCAATATCGTCATCCTTTTTAAAATCTGCATGACAGATTGCACATGCCTTCTGACCCTTCTTAACATTTTGAAATACGATCAGTTTCATTTTTTTCTTAAATGAGATTTAAATTTAAATTGATAATTTAATAATTGTATATTTTTTTATCGAATCTCTATTTGAATATTGGGCTCTATTGAAAAATACATAGACCATGAGGCCAATAGCCCTAAAAAGTTGAAGTAAAATCTGAGCTCAAGGATTAAGTTATTTGTCAAAACAGTTATGTATATATTCTAGGGTCCGGCATTTACGATGAGGTGGTTGTTTCACGAGAACGGGGACGGTGGATCATCTAAAAGCTGTCCCCGGTGACGGGGGTTGAACCCTAATTTATTCCACCAACTATGATCAGTGAAACGTAGTTTTTCTGATTCCCCCACCGTACAGGCCTAAAACTAAAAGGTTTGGATTTGGAAGCATATTTACTCATGTATTTTTGAATACTAAATTTTTCTCAGTAAATTAAAAATGTCTATCGAAAGATAACTAATAAACTTTCAATTTTCCAGACTATCTTGTAGAACGCTCAACAATTAATAGGTTTCCGTATGATAACTTATAGCTATGATTAGCTTACCAAACAATTATTCTTAATTTCGTTTCTAACTTTATCCATATAATTTTCACAATATTCCTTAATTTCATTAATCGCTGATCTGTCATTTATCATTTTATTCTTTATCTCTTCTATTTGATTTTCAGCCACACCTTTATCTTCTAATGACTTATTTATAATCATATGACACTAAAATATACAATTTAAATAAATCCATAATCTCTTTATGATTTAAAATTAAAATTGAAATTAGTGTTTTTGAAAATAACTGGATTTTAGAATACGGGTAAAAGGTCAACTGCCAAAATCGAAGCCTTCGATCAATTTATTTCAAGCTAAATTTGATCAGACCTTCGATTTTCTATATAAAAGTTAAATTATATTGTTATAAAATTTTGATAAATGAAAAATATTCTCAATGAAAAATCCCTATTCTATTAAAAAGCATAGTAGCCCTTATGATAATTTCAAAACGAATATAGGTATGTTATAGAAATTTTGGATTAGTGTAGTCTGCCGGTGATAAAAGTTCGTTGCGTGACATATGTCATTCATTCGTCTCGACGAGCTGAATCGAACGGTAACACTCCCGAAAGATTGAAAAACCATGGGGGGAGTAATCTGATTTTTGGGGTGCATTGCACTACAGCCGAAATTTTAAAATATAATAGATAGACCTGGTCAAGAATGGAAGAATGTTCTTGTGGGTTTCTATAAATTCTCAAAAGACAAATCAAATACTTATGATATTCTTCAAAAGATTTCGAGCTATATTTTTTAACCAATTTAGAAAATAAATCACGATCTTTATAGCCATATTCTTTATTTGAAGATTCACCCCCGCCGCTTGAAATTGAAGGTAAAATTTGAATAAATGTTAAAATGACAAAAAGATTAAATGTTTTTGACATTTTGTATGATTCAAGTTTTTAACTATAAAATTAAAATAAAAAATTATTTTACTATTAAGCGATTCAATGTCAGTGTCAAAAATTTTTAGTAAATAGCGATACCGTGAGCGCACTCCCGTTTCTGAGCAGGGATCGGTTTCGGAGTCATTATTCCAGAATCCCGATCTGATATTATTTACAATTTTAAAAGGTGAGATTTAGGCTCAACTTTAGGGCATGCGTCCCATGGGCTTTTATGCGTCCCATGGACTTTTATGCGTCCCATCAAAGTATAAGCGTCCCTAAAATTGTATATGCGTCCATTTCTCAAATTTTTCATCTACGGTGAAAAGTTGAGTCCAATGAATGGATAAGAGGGATTAGAAGTAATTAAGAATGATTTATGGGATTAACAGAGATATCTAGGGATATGCGAGGAGGATTGAAGCGATAAAGTGGGGTTAGAGGGATAAATTGAATTGTCTATGAGATTTTGCGGTATTAAGAGGGCCTACGTTCAGAAGAAAGTTTAGCAAAAAAGGAAAAAAAACTAGTCAAAAAAAGAAAGGCAAAGGAGTAGAATAAAGCTAAAAATGATTTTTACAGAAATGCCTTTAAGGAAATGTGTGTAGCTAGCTGGATATAAACCGAATCAAATTAATAGAAGGGGGTAATTATTTGAAGGAGAGGGCAATTATGTGAATAAATATGACATTTGAATTAGCTATTAATTACATAATTAAAATCATTAAAATGAATAAGAATATAAAAATAAGTGTCTATAAACACAGTCGTCGCCGCGACTGTGTTTAATAATTTTCGAAAGAATGCCCTTTACATTATGCATGCCCTTTACATATTTCAAAAGCACGCCCTTTACAAATTTGCTAATTTCTCAATAATTAACATGTAATGTAATAATAATATGGCGCGGAGTTTTAAGTTGTAAAAGATTTCATTTAGGTTGCCAAATTGGAGAAATAAAGTGGCGGCCTTTTATTGAGGATGGATTTTTTCGCTGCCGGGAGTACCGAAGATTCCCATTACCGACGAGTATCTAGGAAAAATTTTCGGTAGCAACGCGGTATTTTTGTACTGACAAAAAAGGCATTATATACCAAATATATTCTAATTATATGAGATAATTATGTAACATTAATCTTGTCCGGGAATCTTAAAAGAATATCGTGGGATTATGAACGATAATGGAGATATATGTGAATTATGAGAGATAACGTTGAAGTTGATGGATATAAGGGATATCATCGGATTTTGGCAGATATAATGAAATTATAAGGATATAGGGAAAATCGGGGGACAATGTATGATTAATGGAGATATCGTTGGAGGATACAAGATGATTTGAATGTGTCATAATTTATTAATTATACCCATAAATTTTAATCACTCGATATCCTCTTACTATCCATCTCTCAATATCCTTATTGTCATGTCCGAGGTTCATACTGTGGAAAAATTATGGATGGGAGATGGAATTGAACCATCACGGCAAGGGCCCAAACCGAAAGCACAACCGACTGTGCCACCATCCAACCCAATGCTGGGTTATTTATTTTCATTTATGTTCTTTCTGCAAGTGCGGACACAACACTCCTTCCGCCTTGCGAAATCAAGCGTCCTCGCTTGTTGCTTGTCTTCTATAACTATCAATGTTTCGATTTTGGAGAGAACACACAGAAACCCATTTGTGGCATATGCTGCGCTTCATGCGCCTTACGCATTTTTTTTATATTATATTAGCCTCGCAACACCGGCTAGCCTATCACAACTCAGGCATTTAATTTCTCACAGGGTCTTCTCCTTTTTCTCTCCACAGTGACAGAATGTCAGATCATCACAGCATTTGAAGGTTCGCTGAAATTTCCTCGGGCTATGCCCGGCCTGTGCGACTGCGCCATTATAATGTTCATGCTGTGGAAAAATTATGGATGGGAGATGGAATTGAACCATCACGGCAAGGGCCCAAACCGAAAGCACAACCGACTGTGCCACCATCCAACCCAATGCTGGGTTATTTATTTTCATTTATGTTCTTTCTGCAAGTGCGGACACAACACTTATCACTATCCATCAATATATTCCCCAAATTCTTGTATCTTCCCTCTTAATCCCTCAAATCCGCTGATATTCTTAACATATGCTTTATCAAGAGATTTGGAGAAATAATACTCCGGTATACGTCTTAAACCTCAAATCGGTGATAACAGGAGATTTGAGGGATGGTAGAGGAATTGAAGGGGAATTTTTAATTTTTTTATTTCCTAAGGCTATGCAGTAGTATAATAACAATAAATTAATTACAAAAATATTTTTATTTATAAATTTTTTTAATTATAAAAATCTAAAAATTATTGAAAGAAAAAGAAACATATCCTTTTTGTATATCAATTAGAGATCGAAAATTAAATTTAAAAAATATTTTAAAAAGTTCCATTAATAATTTCAACTAGTATCCATAATTTCTTCAATTAAAGGGGGTGGAATATCAGAATTTAAAATTTCTGGTGAATTTATTTCTTCAATTAAATTGTTGTTTTCTTTCTAGAAATGTATTTAAAATATTTTTAAAATTAAATAATTTATTTACTTTAATATTTGGAGAAAATGAAGAAAAGTCGGGGCTTTGTATCCCTTCAATATTTTGGCAAGATATGGATGAAGTATTTTGTTTTTGAGCTAAATGGCTCTGAAAAAGGATTAAATGAGTGGTTTTAAAAATATTAATGTAAATTAGAAGAACATTAAATACGAAAAAAAGGCTTTTTCTTGGTTAGAAGCGACAAGGCTCTTAATATTTTTAGAATGAATTTAAATGGACCCTATGTACTAACATAACATACCTAGGTCTACGATTAGGGTTGGTCGGGCTTAAGATATATTAAGACCGAAAGATCGAGTCGGGCTTAAGATATTTGGCCTGAAAAAGACTTATACGGCCCGACTCGATAAAAGTGAGGCTCGAAAGTTGAAAACGACTCGAAAACGGCAAACTTATCTAGGATCTATAAATTTTCTATAGTTACCTTATACTAAATAAAATTACAAAAAAGTGATCCATCCCAATTTTGATTAATCAACAATCATTTCCTAATATACCCGGAAAGGGGGAGGGGTATGTTAAGAAAATGTTATCCTTGTGAATTAATTAGCATTGGATATTACATGATATCCCCGACACTTTCCCTCAACCCTTTCCAAAATTATATTTACTTGTTGTCTAAGCAATTGCATTCTTGCAGCTTTCCTTTTTTGTTGTTGTTGGTGTTGATATTGTTGCTGTAAACGGGAAGCTTTTAAAACGGGTTTTTCATAAACGGTAATTAATTCGGATGAAGGAGAAGATGTGCCAACATCGGATGGGTTACTGAAAGATTTTTTTTACTTTTTATAAAAAAAGTTGGGGTTTCTTGTGGAAAAAATTTTGCAAACATTTTTTAAGGTTCATTTATTTTTCATAAGTGGCACGATACTAACTACTAGTGTTATTCACGGTACGGTATTCCTGGCGGTATTGTTTTCGGTATTACCGATACCGATATCGTACCGGCCGTTTTTGTTGCTGCCGAAAATACCGATACCTGTGCCGGAAAAACGCATTTGAATAACACTACTAAACATTACAATTGTGATCGTTTCTAATTGATCCTTATGAAGTTAGTTTTGAATTTATCAGTGACGCCCAAAGGTTGATAAATATGCCGATTATATTTTTTAAGTATTACATCTCCGCAGAAATGTCCGCAAAAAATGTCAGAAAATATAAATTTAAATTGTCAACGAAAACGCTTCTTAACAATTACCTAGTTAATTGTTTTTCGACATGTATTGACTGTTTCAAATTGAGTAAAATTTGTGGTTGAAATTGTAAATTTTCTGGCAAAGAAATTCTTTTTGGAAGACAACCAAGTGCTTGTCTAACATTCGAAAATTTTTGCCGATTTTCTGCTGGGGAAGGAGTTTGTGAAGATAGAGGGGAGGATTGTTGGCTGTTTGTACTTGTTGAAGTAGAGGATGTATTGGAAGATAAAATAGGTGAAGTATTGACTCCGATAGCTATTGGCAATGTTTTTGCCAGACTGAAAAATAATTTAATTAACAAAATAATTAAAAAACGGAGAGTTTAACAAAAGTATAACCACTGGGAAGAAGTCGGCCTGCAACCTCCTTGCGGATATTGCTAGGAGCTTCGCTCATCCCTTATAGGACTCTACCACTGAGCTACCGGGGCATCGACTAATACTTTCACTTTCCTGTTTAGCTTTGATTAGCCCATAAGAGCTATGATTAGTCAATAATTGTGCTTAATGAAGGATAGAATTTTGATGATTTATAAAATATCAATGTCCGCATGTCATTTGCGGACATCATAAAAAAGAAAAATTTTCCCGCGATGAAAATGACTGATCAGGAGCACAATTTACTGTGAGACTATTATTTATTATTAGAGTTGGCCAGGATCGGGATCCCGGTCGGGATCGGGCGGGATTATCCCGGGTTTTTTGAATCCCGATCCCGATTTTTCTGATCCCGGTCCCGAAATGAATATCCCGATCCCGATCCCGGCCAATCTCAATCCCGAGCCGGGATCCGGGATCGGGATCGGGATGTGCATCAGATCCCGATGCAAATCCCGACTTTATAAATTGACTACAAGTCTGTGAAATAAAGTTAACAGAAGAGGGGAGGCTTGAAAGTAAAAAAAAATTTTCGCCTGCGGCGCAGAAAATGGGAGAAATCTGGCTTATTGGCCTTCCAAAATTTCGCCTGCGGCGCAGAAAAGGGAAGAAATTTTGCTTCTTGACATCCAAATTTCTCAAAATTTTCGCCTGCGGCGCAGAAAAGGAAATGATTAAGGCATTATAGATTTAGGCATTATATCCCCGCTCAGTGGAGTAAGGAGGAATAAGGTACTTTGTGGTGTTGCGGGGAGGGATACATGGGATTGGGCTCCGTTTTCTTACGGACTAAATTATTTTTACGGATTAAGGTGAATCAAATTATTTGAATCTCTCTTAATCCCTTAATCTCAGCTCTTAGTCGTCCAGATTTTGACGTAAAAATTATTGATGTTTTTTCCTTTTCTGCGGCGCTGAAAATGAAGAAGCCCAATCCAATTTATCCCTCCCCACAACCACAGAAAGTACTATATCCCTTTTTACTCCACTGAACGGGGAAGTAAATCATGCGCTGTTGAGACTTAAACTCATTATTTCAGCTCTGCAGCTTAAAATTTTATAAATTCTGAGTCGTAAGGGAGGAAAATAAAAAGAAAATAAAAATTTGTAAGTTTAAAAAAATTTTTTTTAGTAAATCCCGATCCCGAATTTTCAATCCCGGTCCCGATTCGGGATCGGGACCGGGATCTCCAGTCCAAATCCCGATCCCGATTTCGGCCAATCCCGATCCCGTGTCGGGATCCGGGATCGGGATCACCATTCCGAAATCCCGATCCCGGGTTTTTCTCTAAATCCCGATACCGGCCAACTCTATTTATTATCAGTTCATATTCCTTCTACATATCAAGTGTGGACATAACCATTAAAACTTGAAGCAAAATTTAAGTAATTTTACCTAGCCAAACCCGTAGAAAGTCGCATTCCTCTAAATTGGTTATGTAGAGGTATTCCATTGTTATTTTGAGGACTAGAAATTAAATGTTAAAAAAATTTTTTAATTAACAGATCACCGATGTAACCCTTCCATTGCTCTATTTCTCTCCCCCAAATTTCCAGTAGGGAAAGGTAAAGGAGCATTTCCAATAGAATTATCACTAAAATAAAATTTAAAAATTTAAAATTTTATTTAAAAATTCCTTCCCACCTAATTCTTAAATTTTCTCCCCCAAAAAGAAATAATTGGTGAAATGCAGGATTATTTATTCCATTTTGATTATTTTCATTTTCAGCTGCTGGACGTGCTGAATTTGTTTGTGGGGGCTGTTGAGGATAAAAATAAGGTTTTAATAAATGTTGATGACGTTGATTTTGATGGTAATGTTGATGACTAGAATTAAATGATTTTAATTAGTATTCTATATGTCCATCCGCTCAAATAATATAAGTGTCCGCTCGAAAAATGTCAGTGTCCGCAAAATTTTTGCGGATTATCCGCAAGTTTTTGCGGACAAAAATTTTTTTTTGCGGACATCTGTAATTTTGCTGCCCGCATTTTAATAAAAAATATTTACTTTAAGCCAATATGGCGATGTTGAAATCTTCCAGAAGTTCCACCACAATGAGGATGTAATTGTACATGCTTCATTAAATTACCGCCAGTGCCCCCACCAGCAACGCCTGTACTTGAATTAGAACAGCAACATCGTGCAACTGATGGAGAGGATACTAAGAGAAGATTTTTAAAAAAGAATTTTTTAATTTAATAATTCAAAGGGGACGAACTTATCAACAAAATTTGTTTTTAGATTTTCCCTAAGGAATATTTTGGGTGGTAGAGTTTGGGGAGCATTTTTGTTATAATCAAAGCCAAAATTCCAAAATTTTAGAACAAAATGAGCCTGTTATTCAAAAAAATTTTGGATTTAAAAGTCTCAATAAAGCATCTTCACCTTTGTGTACATATACCGTATTTACTCGATTAATTCACATCCCTTGAATAATCCCCCTCCCTCGATTGATTCCCCGTTTTCAGTTACTACTGGAACTACCCATAGCCACGGATGGGTTGAAAAATAATTCTATGGTGGAAATAATCGAGTAAATACGGTAGTCAAGTCTTTTTTATGTTCAATCGACGTGAAAAACATCCGTGATTTTCTATTAAAAGTGCAACTTCACGAAAACAATAAAAACAACACAAATAAAATGTTTTATTATAAGTGAAACAAATTGAAAAATTTAAAAAATATTAGTGTTACATAAACATAAATACAAACAATATTAAAATTAAAAACAAGCATACAAATGAGTATCTAAATTAAAAAAAAAATTTTAAAAAAATATGAAAGGACAGAAAACACTGAAAAGAGCAAACAAAAACTTAAAATTAATTTTACATCAAGACTAGTGCCAACTAGAGATCGAGCTGGACCTGGACCAAGGCCTGGGTTTTTCCTGTACCGAGTTCAGGTTCAGGCATTTTTTGACCTTCCCGGGTTTTTCCTGGGCCTGGGTTCTTCCTGGACTACAAGCACAGGATCCAGTCCAGGTCAAAAAAATCAAACCCAGAGTCCAGAAAAAGGGCCAGCCTTTTCAAAAATCTCGATCTCTAGTAACAAACTTCATTCAACTAAATATACCCTTCATCCCTCCTTCGTTTACTTCCCCTCTTTTTAGACAAAATATTTTTGTTGATATCCGAATCCCCTTCATTTTTATCTTCAAAACTTTTAAGGCAATAATCACCTTCTATTGGGGTTTTTCCATTACTACTGGAACTACCCATACGAAATGCATTTGCACTATTGTTTGATGATTGGGAAGAGAAGAGTGGATCCTAAAATATTAATTAATTTTGAATTTTTAATTAAAATTTTAGTATTATCTGGAGAAATTTGTATATATTATCAAGGAGAAATTTTTCATCAGTATCAGCAAACTTTTGCGGATCCGCAAACTTTTGCGGATTTAATGCATTTTTTCAAATTCCGCGCATACCGTATATCCTTTAATAACTCCCCTGGGTAATTATTGTTTCGACCTTCCGCTGGAGGGAGTAATTAATCGAGGGAGGGTAATCATACGAGGTTTGAAATTTGAACGTGTTTAAGGACATTTCTTAGAGGGTAATTATTGTTTCAATCTATCGCTGAATGGGGTAATTGATGCAAGTGGAGTAATTATTTGAGGGAGGGCAATTAATACAGGTCATACGGTATTTGCATATCGGTGGATATCTTGACTTAATTTTACCAAAAATCTTTAGGTACCCTTACCCCTATTGGTGGACACGGTTGATAACAATACCCCCAATTTAATGAACATTTATTATAAGCTAAGATTTCTCGTCTCCAAAAGGGAGAAACTAGAGTTTGACCGTACTTAAATCACTCATTCTCATTTCTTTTTAATTTCTACCTGGCTTAATTGACTGTCAAAAGCAGGCAAAGGTTCGTGACAATGGTTTATATGTTGTAATAATCCATATCCAGCTGTTTGTAAATTTCCATGAATTGCTGCATTGGCAAACATTAAAAGTCCAGAATTGTTTGTTTCGTCAATAATACCCTTTTAAAAAATAATTTTTTCCTAAATTTTATTCAAATCAAAAAACTTCGTCAAAAGAATTAATTGTTCCTATAGTAGACTGTCTAGATAGGGAAGAACCAGCTGCAGAAGAACTCGAACAACAATTTTCTGATTCATAGTCTGATGTTGAGGGATGCTATAAAATTGGGGATTTTAGAGAGATAATTATTTAGAATTTTTGCATAAACTTTAATTTTTGCGGACAAATTTTGCGGACAGAATTTGCGGACAAATTCTGTGAACTATTTTTTGCGGATAATTTTTGTGGAGATTTTTTGTGGGCATTTCTTGAGGACAATTTTGAATAAAACAAGAAAAAAGTTACCACAACTTGGCGTTGATCAAGCTGTTGCTGTCGAAATTGTTGCTGTTGAGCTTCAAGTACACCTTGAAGTTCTGGATTGGTAGAACTTTGAGGAATTGATGGTTGAGTTATTAGAGGAAACCCAGTTTTTATTTCTAAAGGAATTAGTCCATTTTGAAGTAAACTGGAAAAATACGAAGGTTAATAATTTAATGATTTAATTTATTTTTTTAAACTTTTTAGAATTTTGTTTAAAAGAAGCAAGACAACAACAACATTGACAAATCATAGGTCCACCTCCAACAATAGTAACACCATCTGATTGACGTCTGACTTTAGCTCCTCGAGTAACATTTTGTTGGAAGTGGAAAGAATCGGCGATAGAATTTTGTTTGTCTAAAAAATAATATATTTGCGAATAAAAATATTTTTTGCGGACAAAAAAATTTGCGGACAAAAAATTTTGCGGACAAAAATTTTTGCGGACCGAAGTAGTTAACCCCCCCGAGAAGTCGTTGGGGGCAGCGGGGTCCAACCATTTAGCCCCTCCCCCTTCTTAAACGACCATTCAACCATTCCGTCGTCAGAGTCCAAAGGTTTAAGGATTTCCCTTTAAGGGATAATTTGATCAAACCGGTTTGGTGCGAACTTAAAAAAAACACCTTACCATACCATTCCCCACATTTTTCACCAAATTTTATTCTAAAAATTTTCCCTAAGTTTCTAGGGTTCAATAAGTAGTTTTCAAACGGTTCAATCAAGATTTCCCATATTTTTTCTTTTTAAAACTGGTTCTTTTACTTTTTTTTTTTTTTTTTTAAGTTTCTTTTCTTACAATATCTTATTTTATTATTTTTACCCTTTATACTTAAAAAAAAATACAATAATTATTAAAAAGTAGGCGGTTGAAATAGAAATAGTAAAAATCAGTCATGCAATAATTATGTTGCAAAATTATTGTTGAAAAGTGAAAATTGGTTAGAAATAGGTCATGCAAGAGAAAAACTGTAAAAATTTGCAAATTATTGTTGAAAAGTTAAAAAAGGGTAAATTTTTAAAAAGTAGACGTTGAAGATAGAAATAACTTTAAAAAGTATAAATAGGTAAAAAATAGCTCATGCAAAAATTGATCAAAAATTTATTAAAAAGTAGGCGTAGAAAAGTGAAAATAGACTATAATTATAAAAACAAAATATTACTGTAATAGGAAAAATAAATAAATGAAAATAAATTAAGTTTTATGATTACCCCTCTCTATTAATTATCCACTAATAATTTAAAAAATTAAGAGTTTAAAAAATAAATTCTACAAACAACATCGTCGCATCGTTCACAACTTGCTAATTATATACCTAAAAATTTTTCTTTACCAGATATTATGCTAATTTTCTTTCTCGAAATATTATTTAAAATTTAAAACATTTCCTATCTAGTTAAATTATGTTAAATTTATTTTTAAAATTCCTCTTCTTGACTGGAAATAAAAGAAAAAGATTGTTTTATATAGGGATTTCTCTTCTTTTGACAACATCCTAAGGAATAAAAACAAAGGTATGTATTATTACGAAACTAAACATTATTACGAAACTTGCTCGCTCTTTCTTTATTCTCTTTAAATTCTTTTGCTTTTTTATGCAAAATTTCTTTTAGGCTTTTTCCCGCGACTGGAAAATAATGAAATGGAATTTCAGTGAAATTCCTATTTTACAACACATCAACTATTTTATGGAATATTTTCTTAAAAAAGGATTTCACATTTCCTTCTTCATTCTTTAAAATTCTAAGAAATTTAATACTTTTGAATTAGTCTCTAATTTTGAATTTATTTTATTATTAATGTCTCCTCCACCTTCGAAGAAAGCACGACATTTCTTCATTGATAATCTATTACAGAAAGGTGATGGTGATTATGTAAAACATTTGGGTGAAGAAACTAAAATCACCCGGAAATTTAACCTTACCAAACTGTCTACTAAATTCTTAATTTCGAATATCCCACCCGATCCTGAGGGTTTATTAAAAGGAATTTTCCAAGAATGCATCGACAAAACATTGGAGACGAGTCATGGTCATCAGCTTGATCCAGATCAACTTGGCTGTACAGTGAGCAGTCAATTGTTAGAATCAGATATTTGGATTCCAATACGTGAAATTACTCCCAACACGGTGGATTCAATTCTTAACCAATTTCTAAAAGTGGCCCAATCTAAAAAACAGGATCAGGGAATGTTATGGGGTGAACCATTTACCGTTTCTGTTACAGCTATTGACAAAAAACATCTGCCTACAACACGTTCTATTAATGGTAGTGGCAAAAATCCATCACCAATTCGACATAAAGTTAAAGACCACAACCTCATTAAAATTATTAATTCAGACAACTACTGTTTATTTCGATCATTGTCTGCCACCTTTATATTTTCAACATGCTCATGGCCGAAATGGAAGTTCTATGACTATATGCATAGCAGATTAGGAATGAAGAAACGTTTGGAACATGATACAACATTCTTGATGGAAAATGTAGGAGCTCCTCTTGATTTAACAACATATGATGCAAATGAATGGGTACCCAAGGTGGTTGATTATTGGAATTCAAGGAATGATGGCCTGTTTAAGGTTTTTATTTTTGGAGAATTAGATGAAAAACCTATCTTTAAATATGGGGATGAAAATCACACTACTCCAATTCTTCTTTATTACAACAATAATCATTTTGATGGAGTTAGAAAAGCAAGCGGTTTATTTGGTAAACCTTATTGCCTATCATGTGAGATAATTTACAACCGCCCAAAAGATCATTCTATCACCTGCACATCAAAATGTCAAAATTGCTCCAGGATCGGACCCAATTACCCATGCCAGCCTTTAGATAACTACTTCAAACGGTGCAATGGTTGTTCTAAGGAATTTAATAATGAAGAGTGCTACACCCATCATCTCAAATCTAAATTTTGCCACAACTCTAAGAAATGTGAGAAATGTGGAGTGATATGGTATGTGAAGGACAACAACAAGAATGGGCGCAGTGGACATGTTTGTTCAGAACGTTACTGCACCACCTGCTTTAGCTTCCATGACCCAAAAAGAGGTTGTTACATTAAATCTCTAACTCAAAGGAAGCCAAAACCCTACCGAGTCATCGCTTTTGACTTTGAAACCATGCAACACAGGCAAGGCGAAAAAGGGAAATTACATGAAGTGAATTTTATATCTGCAAAAATCAACTGCCCCGAGTGTATTAGTAACGGAAACAGCGATTGTACTATTTGCGGAGAAGAACGAACTATAACCTTCTCCCACCAACCATTTTCCAACACTCAAGTCGATCAACAAAATGTTACTAATGATCCTCTGACTGATTTTGTAACCTGGATCACTAATTTTTCTACTGATACAATAGCCTTCTCTCATTTTGGAGGAAGGTTTGATATGGTCCTACTATTCAAGGAATTGTATCTCAAAGGCCTAATCCCAGAAATGATAAAGAAAGGTAACAAAATGTATGAGATGAAGGTGAAGAACAATAAAAAATGCTGGGTCATCTTCAGAGACACATACAATCTAATGCCAATGCCGTTGGCTTCACTAGTACCAGCCTTTGCTCTTAAAATGGAAGACAAACCTTTCTTCCCTCACCTGGCCAACAACCCAAAGAATTATGGGAAAGAAATCTTTCCGACAAAAGAAGATTACCTTGCTAATGGGATGATGCCTGAAAAGAGGGCTCAGTTCGATAAATGGTTTGACCAACATAAAAATGAGCCCTTCAACTTAAATGAACAACTAGCAGCATATTGTATCAACGATGTGGAGATCCTCATGGCTGCGCTCATTGCCTTCAGAACGGAATTTTTGGAAGTCTCCAATGGCTTGGATGTTCTTCGTGAAGCTATGACAATTGCTTCTGCCTGCATGAAGCACTTCCGCATGAATCACCTCAAAGCCAACCATTTAGGAATTGTTCCTGAAAAAGGTTACGACAACGTCGACAACCAAAGTAAAATTGCTCTCAAGTTTCTGAAATGGTATGGCGAGAAGAATAACGTTACAATTAGGACAGCACACTCAAAGAATGGGGAGAAGAAAATTGGTAATTATAAATTGGATGGATGGGTTGAGAAAAAGAAATTGGCTATTGAAGTCAATGGTTGCTGCTGGCATGGATGCATCAAATGTTATCCTGACGACGATCTTAAGCTTCCAACAGGTCTTACAGCTGGAAAACAGCGGGAGAAGGACCAAAAACGTCTAAAATTTATTAGGAATTTGGGGGTCAAAGTGGCAGTATATTGGGAGTGTCAAATCATTGATATGGTAGCAAAAGATTATGAAATGAGGAAGATGTTTAAAAAATATCTGGATGATGGACCAATAAATATTAGAGAGGCCTTCTATGGGGGAAGAACTGGTCCCTTGAAGTTATTCCACAAGGCTGAGGATGGACAAAAAATTTCTTACTACGATGTCACCTCCCTTTACCCATTTATCAACGTCTCAACTCGATATCCTGTTGGGCATCCAGAAGTCCACATCATCAATATGGATGTCAATTGGACCAAACCTGAAGACAACACTTACAACACTGCTCTTTTAAAATTATTCGTCATACCACCGAGAAGTATTGACGTTCCTGTTTTACCAATGAAAATTGGGGAAGACGACGATGAACGATTACTATTTCCCCTGTGTTCTACTTGTGCAAAAGAGTACCCTAAAGGTGATGTCAACGAAAACTACAGCTGCCCCCATTCAGATCAACAGCGAGGGTGGGTCAGCACATGTACGTCTATTGAGATAAACGAAGCCCTCAAGGAGGGGTATGTGGTGACCAAACTATTTAGAGTATTGGAATTTAAAGACTACGACGACAAACTGTTCAGACCCTACATTAGTGAATTTATGACCCAAAAAATTCACTCTTCTGGTTTTGACAACACCATCAAGGGTGACATAGAAAAGGAAGATAAGTTTATGAAAGAGTGCCTGGAAATGTTTGGGATTAACATCGAGAGGGAGAAGATGGTGGTCAATAAGGGTAAAAGGACACAAGCGAAATTGTGTCTAAACAATTTGTGGGGGCGATTTTCACTTCGTAACTTTGGACTCTCCCAGTGCAAAATTACTGACGACCCAAGTGAATACGTAAAAATGAGTAACGACCCAGCAATAACAGTTAATCATTGTCATGAATTGACTGAAGATGGGACTGTGCTTATCGACTACATTAAGAAAAAAGATTGGGTGGAGGAGCATGACTCATCAAATGTCATCATCTCGCTTTGGACTACATCAGCAGCGAGGATCCACCTTCTGCATGCCATGCAGAAGGTTGTAAGGACACCAGGTTGCCAGCTTCTCTACACCGACACAGATTCCTTAATCTTCTCACATCC